ACTTGTTGCCTCTTGAGTTCAGTTCAAATAAGCTATGCTAAGAAAACCAGGAAGTAACAGGACCCGTTGTCTGATTGACAGTCAAGGGGTGTAAACAGTATAATTTCTAAAAGTGTAAATTTTTATTGAAATCTACACTTTTTTTCCAATAAGAAAAAAATAGGGCACACTATTCACACAAAAGGTTTTTCATCAAGCTGAAGTGCTTTAGGGGTGTCCCTTTAAGTTTAATCAATACAATTTATAGATCATAAACCAACAGTACTACTAGGATTTTATTGTAAATCTAACCTACTGAGTAAAGATGATTGTTTCATTTTACTTAAAGATACATTCTGAGCAGCATAACAACTACAACATGCAGCAGTGATTAGGATGCATTGCAGTCATCTCACTTTTAAAAGTCAAACTGTTTTTTGAACAGTTTGACACTTCTTTGGGTCCACCAGGCACCCTCGATCCAGCACCACTTCACATATATTGTTATAGAGAAGGATCCACTCCCTAATAGAATATATGGATTTTGTCTAGATCTGAAAAAACTGATTGGCTGAGACACTCTACGATAATGAATTTCCTTGTAACACACACACACACAAAAAAAAAAAGCATAACGGTGGCAGGGCCTGACTGTTATGGCAGAAAGACGTGTTTTACACGAGCTCTCCCATGATCTTGTATAAAACAAGCTTCCTACAGCCTTCTCAAACTCATTTGGGGATGCCATCATCGACCTACCTGAACCTCACAACAGAGGGCATGCAGTGTGGCGGTCCGCGACCCAATAAGTTATCCGCTGCCCTTAGCTTGATCCTGCAGCCTGGTGTGCATCGGGCAGGAGAGACGCCCGCATCTTCGGCAAAGAACAGAACCACAAGATGGCAGCGAAAGGTGAAGGTGAAGCTACTTCAGGTGGCACAAGAGAGGGCTCCGCTATAGTCAGGCGGATGCTTGGTTATGGCAGTGTCGGAGGTACAGGCGGAATCCCTGCTCAAGATGTACGAGTCAGCCCGAAAATTATCATCGAAGCTCGGGGGGCAGAGATGTTCGCTCTGCACTGGGACTCTGATCTACCACTGGTCGGCATAGGTTGACCTAAGCATCCAGGCACATGGCTGACCACCTTCCTCTCAATCTGCTACACCATTTACTTCCATTTTGTTTATGCTATTTTTGTGCTCTCACTTATTATTATTATTATTACTTACTTCTCTCCACATGCACTTAGCTTGTAGCCTCCCTGGGACACTACTATGCTAGATAGTGCATTGAAACATGCCTGACTTTATTATAAAAAAGAAATAAAAAAATGTGCAGTATACAACAAAGCAATGTCATGGTTGCTACTGATCTGTTTATTTCTTGCACAACAAAATAAAGAATAAAAAAAAAAAAAAAAGTATACGATTAATAGGTCCCAGGTAAGTGTTAAACTTTTGGAATAAGGTTTGACTCTTTACAGCGAGTCAATGCCAGAGAAAGCCCTATAGTGGTTATGGTGCTTATGGTGTGAAATGCTCACTATACCTTTATTTTTTGCTTGTAAGTCCTTGGCCATAGTCTGCAATTTTTCCAGCCTGCTCTGCAGGTTTTCAGTGGATGGTTCACCTGCAAGTCATTTTAGAATATGAAAAGATATAATTTAAAAGAGTATAACAATAAGTAATTCATATTATAACACACATGGGGATGTAAAGAACGTTTCAACGACATAACTTGATGTAGCATCTCTACTGCACCACTATAAGTTTATATATTATTAAGTAATCAAATTTCTTTCTTCTGTTAAATCATGCAGTTAGCATATTTCCCATAATTGTGAAGTGCCAATCTGAGATGTAGGGAGAGGAAGGTTAGCAAAGAGAATGCCTGTCGTCCAAACAGCCTGCTATAAAATGATATAAAAGCGCACAATGTATCTGCACATTCTATGATGCACTCATACATGACTTTTTATGTGCATGTCCTAGATATAAAAATCAATGAAATAGGTTAAATACTACATTATCCCAAATACTACATTATCCCAAATTAAGAGAGTCCCTTGTGGTGTTTGGGAGGCATTTTGCTCATTCTAAAAAATAAAATACAGCCATATATAATATAAGAGGTTTCCAATGACATTATTAAGGCACTTCCCAGATTGCAACTGAACTCACACAACAAAACGATATAACCAAAAAGATTTAAAGGCTACAAATCATCTTTCAACTACCCATAATTTAAGAGGAGAATATTTGCAGGGTGAAACCCTATCCTATGATTTAGTGCAGCTCTTCTTCGGTATTGCATCAGTGAGCTAAAAGGGACATCATGTAAAATAAGATGGCATGATGAATGTAACACCACATAATTAGGAACCAACTTCAATAGTTGAGCAGTCCAGCTAGAACCACAGACTTCTTTTTCATAACTGAGGTTCTGTCATCTCTGCACACCATGCTTGCATTAATTAAAGGAAAACTAACTTCAAATTCATTTTTTAATAAAGTTAACTTTTCATTAAGTTTTGAAAGGAAACAGATTTGTTGCTAGATGAAGTATATGTAAAAACATGAAGACAGTCTCTCGGTTCTTTCCTGTTTCTGGGCAGGGAGGGACTAACTGTTTTCAAACACTGTCTGACTCAAATTATTTTCTCTTTTTTTTTTTTTACATATACTTCATTTAGAAAAAATATATATTTTTCAAAACTTGATAAAAGGATTATAATATTAAAGCATATGACAGTTGTCATTTAAAGTGGTGATCATAACAAAGTAGACCCAGTTGATGTAGTTTTCCTGTATTTCCATGGATTGTAATTTCATCATAATTGTACTTAATATAATGCTGCGCAGTGTATACATAAAATTTCATAGAAATAACACTCATATAAAAGGTCAGCCACACCCATACCTAACAAATCAAATTCAATTTCACATACACACAGGTCTCCATTTCTTAAAGGACCACTCTAGGCACCCAGACCACTTCAGCTTAATGAAGTAGTCTGGGTGCCAGGTCCAGCTAGGGTTAACCCATTTTTTTATTTTTATAAACATAGCAGTTTCAGAGAAACTGCTATGTTTATGAATGGGTTAAGCCTCCCTCCAAATCCTCTAGTGGCTGTCTCATTGACAGCCGCTAGAGGCGCTTGCGTGATTCTCACTGTCAAAATCACAGTGAGAGCATGCAAGCGTCCATAGGAAAGCATTGATAATGCATTCCTATGCGACCGGCTGAATGCGCGCGTAGCTATTGCCGCGCGTGCGCATTCAGCCGACGGGGAGGAACGGAGGAGGAGAGGAGGCAGAGAGCTCCCCGTCCAGCGCTGGAAAAAGGTAAGTTTTACTCCTTTTCCCCTTTCCAGAGCCGGGCGGGAGAGGGACCCTGAGGGTGGGGGCACCCTCAGGGCACTATAGTGCCAGGAAAATGAGTATGTTTTCCTGGCACTATAGTGGTCCTTTAAGCTTTCTAAATGAGTTAATACTTTTAGAAAAACTTTCAAAATCTCCACCATTAAAGTCTATAGAAATTTTAGTATATAAATAAATAGAGAAGAAGTTTTTCTAACAGTATTGACTCGTTTGGATAGTTTATAAAATCAAGGCCATATTTTGCCATTTACACAACTATTTAGCCATATGCATAGATACACTGTTACATACTCAAACAGCCAAACAGAGACACAATCAAAGATAATACACAAAAAGCCAAACACGCAAAAAACGTATATGTGCAAGTAGCCCAACGCTGATACACGTAACTAGAAACACACACACACGCATACATGTCAGCTGTATTAAGGAAGATATAGAGCAGGGGTCCTCAAACTACGGCCCACGGGCTGAATCCGGCCCGCCAGGGTCCAGAACACAGCACAAGCACTCAGCGCCACCCGATGGGTCCTATATCTTCAGGGGCCTGGTAAGTGCTGCGGCCATGTAATAGCTCTACCTGGCCCCTTTAAAAAAAAAAAATCACAGCCGCAAATACTGCTGGGAGGAAGTGACGGCCAGTGGTCACTTCCTCCCAGCTCTCTCCACGCAGGAGAGAAGAGAGACATGCCGCGGGAGCCAGGCCAACACCCATCAGCCATAGCCACCCTCCTGCAAAAAAAGGTAAGCAAATTAGTTATGTATATGTGTATGTATGCATGTCTGTATGTATGTCAGTATGTCAGTATATGTATTTCAGTCTGTATGTATGTCTATGTGTGTACGTATGCATCTGTATGTATTTCAGTATGTGTATGTATGTCAGTATGTGTCTGTCTGTATGTGTATGTATGTAGGTCAGTATGCATGTCTGTTAGTGTATGTATGTCAGTATGTGTCTGTCTGTATGTATGTCAGTATGTGTATGTATGTCCGTATATATGTATGTCTGTGTCTGTCTGTTTATGTATGTATGTATGTATATATGTATGTGTGTGTGTATTTATGTTCTTATGCGTGTGTGTACAGTGTGCATAGGAATTTGTTAATATTTTTTTATAGTCCAGCCCACCAACAGTGTCTGAGGGACGGTGAACTGGCCCCCTGTTTAAAAAGTTTGAGGACCCCTGATATAGAGCAATGGCCATTATCTCTGGTGTCTAGATAGCAATGGGTTGCAAGGATAAAACGTATAACTCAGCAGTCATGAACTGCGTGCCCGTATGTAAGGAGCTATTAAATAGTAACATCACTACTGCAGTAATGTATTGGGTGCCGGTGCAGTATTAACCTCTTTTATTTTGTAACACAGCATAGAACTAGATAGTGGTCACTTTGCACTGTCTATTGTGAAAGATGTAGTCACACAGTAAATGCAATACTGACACAATTCTCCCTTTCTAAATTACTTCTGATAGAGTGCTGGAGATAGAGTGTTTGAGCAAAGCCTGGTGATGCAGAGATTAGAACAGAAGAACTAGTGGAAGCTCCTGAGAGCTTCACCTGGTAGATAACCACTGTAGTCATTATGGTGTGTGGAGTGTTCCTTGAAATTATAAAGAGAAATATTGATTAGGGAGTTCACTTGACAATACCGAGACTAGAGTCCTGTGAAGATACACTCATAGACAAGGGCCTTCTTGATAAGCTGCCAGCAACTTCGTAGGCATCAACTGGAGTAGTCAGTAGGGAGTGTACTGGAGACTTGCATACACTGGAGCGTTTTTTGGGTGATGAGGTGTAACACGGAGTTGTTAAAAATGGGCATTCTAAAGACAAAGATACAACCAATAACACAAAATGGTCTGAGGGAGGAGACAGGAATTAATACACAAAGTGTTCATGATTATAACTTAATATGCTGAACGGCTAACACAAATTTGGGGTTAAAAATAAGAATCACTGTTTAGTATTTATACCTCAAATTAGAACATGCATAAATTTAATTTTGCACTTTTTTCAATGTGGTTATATCTAAATACAGTTTGCAAACAGCCATGGAAAGCACCCCCCTTCTAACCCAGCCCTATCTTTCTGTGGCTGTCCAATGACAGACTTCCCAATACAGCTGAAGACCTTTAGTGGTATGGAATGTCCCTTTAAAAGTAATATATCAATATTAGTATTTACTTGGTTTTAAACTCACCAGTGTTTGCAAAGGAGAATGTTGGGTCTTTATCTTGAAGATCAGCAGTAAACAACATTGATGGATCCCTGTTGGAAGAGGAACACAAACCCCATTTATAACCAAACCAATATGCCAATTAAATCTTTAAGCACAATTTACACCATTATTAAAACTTCAAACTAGAGATCCTATACTGACATGGAATATCCTACTTATATACCAACAGGAGCTTTTTACTTCTGAGTATAATACAGACGGAAATTAATTGCCAAGAAAGATTTTGAATGTGTTTTTATTAATGAAAATTCTATTTTGTAAAGAGTTACACAAAGTGTCATGTAAAATAATAGAATACTATGTCATCAAGCATGGTCGTTTTTACTTTTAATACAGCAAGTCTAGTTGTTTCCTACAAATGATGACTTTTAGGCTATGAGAATCCCACATGGTGGATGTGGTCTGGTCTTGATTGTTTTTGGACTGTGGTGTAGCAAATACTCAAAACATGATTAGTGATCTAGGCAGAGATCTGAAGAGGATAAACTGACAGATGATGACAGAGATCACAACATTTTAATCTGTAAAAAAACATTTTATTTGGTGTCAAAATTAACATAGGCAAAAGTGTAATGAAAAGTGATAGGCAGGTCTGGAGGACAGCAAGTAGTCTGAAGAGACAGATAGTATTGTAAATATGTGCAATTCCTTTCGTTCCGAATGTCAATTCGGACGAATTTCAGGTAATTCGGACATTCAGATACTTCCGAATGTCTGAATAGCCGAATTGCCAAAGTTCCGAAATTGCCGAAGTACTAATATACCCAGTGGAAGAATGAAGAATGTTACACTGTATAGCAGTTTTTAAAAAAAAAGTATACAAACATAGACAGGATTCAGCTGTAAGCATTTGCAACACTTACAACAATCAAGTAACACATTCATATAAAATAAGTTACTTAGCCAGTCAGTGGATGGGAATGAATAAGTAGATAACTCCCTAAATCCCACGGTATCAGGCAGCTATCTACCAAAAGGCTGAAAGACCTAAATTGGTCTTTCAGCCAAATTTACTTATACTAAGTAAAGATTACTTAGTATTCGTAAATTCTGCCCCTACACGCTATACCGTGAGTAGGGGCATGTCTAGTAAACAGAGAGCAGCCTATGGCTGCTCACTGTAAAAAAAAAAAAAAAAAACATATCCCCCGTACCGTGCGAGTGGGGGCTCCTAACCCGCTGCTCAGGGGTGGGGGCCAGGGGGAGGACAATAGGTCCCCCCCCCTTATTCTTCTTTAGGGTCCCCACCCGCCACTCGGGGGTTGGGGCCAGAGGGAGGACAATAGGTCAACCCACCTTGAAGTAATTTAGGGCCCCCACCCGTCGCTCAGGGGTGGGGGCAGGACAATAGGTGTGTGTCCCCCCCCTTTCTGATTTAGGGCTCCCACCCGCCGCTCAGGGGTGGGTCTGGGGGGCAATAGGTCCCTCCTTCAGTTTAAAAGCCCCCACTAGTGTGGCAAGTGTGGGGGCTCAGGAGGGGGACACTTTTTTTTGTTTTGTGCTTTTACAGTGAGCAGCCACAGGCTCCTCACTATTTAATAGACATGCCCCTACTCGCGGCATAGCGAGTGGGGGCAGAATTGACTAATGCTAAGTAATTTTTACTTAGTATTAGTAAATTTGGCTGAAAGACCAATTTAGGTCTTTCAGCCTTTTGGTAGATAGCTACCTAATACCGTGGGAATTTGGGAGTTATCTACTAAGTGGCTGCAAGAGAACATCCGAAGTGCCGAAGTCCCGAAATTCTGAAGTTCCAAATTGCCGAAGCCCCGAATTTAGGGATGCCGAACCGAACCGAATATTTTCCCCATGCACATCCCTATAGTATTGTGCTGTATTTATAAAACTGTTCCTTTATGTACAGAATGATAATTATAAAAAGGGAAGATCTTAGCCTTTTAAGGCAGCAATCACGTTAAATTATACGCTGGAAAAACAAAGTAAAAAATTGGACTTAGAACTACCCAGCAGGTTACTCCTTCTTATAATCACTCTGTACTATTTGTATCTAGAGAGATTGCTACAAAATGAAACTTTTTTTTTTAAAGTAACACCATTCATTGTTAACATTCAGCCATAAAGTGCTAAGCCTCCTTTTTATAATGATCATTCTGTAGGTATAGGACTCAAATCTCTAAGCACATAAAGGAGGAGCTTTATATGTATATAAAAAATAGATTTTCTCACCCCTCCTGGGTAGTATGTTCCTCATTCTCGGGTCCTCTACCAGAGGCCTAGGAGTTTGATGTTTTTTTTCGCAGTATCTTAGCTGTTCCTAAAACTGCACTCTTCTGGACGGCGATCTCAGATGTCCAACATGGAATCTGTTGAAGCCACTCCCCCAACTTGGGAGTCACAGCCCTGAGTGCTCCTATCACAACTGGGACTACTACTGCCTTCACTTCCCACATCCTTTCTAGTTCTTCTTTCAGTCCTTGGTATTTCTCCACCTTCTCATTTTCCTTCTTCCTGATGTTATAGTCACTGGGTATTGCCACATCCACCACGACTGCAGTCTTTTGTTCCTTGTCTACCACCATGATGTCGGGTTGGTTGGCCAGCACTTGCTTGTCTGTCTGGTTCTCAAAGTCCCACAGGATCTTAGCCCTGTCACTCTCAACTACCCTTTGTGGTATCTCCTAGCTGGACCTTGCAGGTCCAATCCATAATCTGTACAGATGTTTCAGTACACAATCCCAGCAATTTGGTTGTGTCTCTCCGTGTATGCTGTTTCTGCTAACATCTTGCATCCGGCTACTAAGTGCTGGAATGTCTCAGAGGCCTCTTTGCACAGTCTGCACCTTGGGTCTTGCATGCTGTGGTAGACTCCAGTTTCTATTGATCTGGTGCTGAGTGTCTGTTCCTGTGCTGCTATGATTAGTGCCTCAGTGCGGTCTTTCAGTCCTGCCTTTTCCAACCACTGGTAGGGTTTTGTCATGTGAGCCACATCCACTATCTGCTGGTGGTACACCGCATGGACCTCCTCTATCTGTTGAAGTCTCAGGCATTGCCTTAGAAGTTCATCTTTGGGAGCCATCTTTGTGATGTACTTGTGGATGCTCTGTGTTTCATCCAGGACTGTGGCCTTGACACTCATCAGGCCTCGACCTCCTTCCTTCTTGCAGGTGTGCAGTCTCTGGGTGCTGGATTTCGGGTGGAATTCTCCATTCATGGTGTATGGTTGATTTCTTCTGTAGTCTATTTATTTCCAGTTGTGACACTAGATTTCTCTTGAAGATGTTCAGACGTTGTGTAACCAGCTGTTTTGGTGTTAGGGTAGATGATGGTCTCTTATTCATCCATAGTTCCCACATACGTTTCATGTAACCTCTTTTATTGGGTCTGCTGTTGTAGTAGCATTCAAGCAGGTCTAGGTTCTCGCTCCGTGTCCAGGAATGATTTGTTACAGTAGCCCACCACACACACACACACACACACACACAATATATATATATATATACACACACACACACACACATACACACATACATACATACATATACACACACACACACACACACACACACACACACACACACATATATATATATATATATATATATACAGACATACATACACACAGTGGAACCTCGGTTTACGAATTGAATGCGTTCTCCGGGAAGTTTCTTATTGCGAAAAATTTGTAAACCAAAACGCGGTTTCCCATAGGAATGCATTGAAAACCAATTCTGGAGGTCAGAAAAAAGTCAAAATGAGCTGGCACGGAAACCAACCCACAATGCAGAACACACAATAAAACGACGAATCTCAGCTCCCTACCTTTCCACAGCTTGAGAAACAGCTTGAGAAAAGTCCCAAAACAACTGCAAATAATTTCCAGAATGGTTCCAAAACTCGATGCAAAAGCCGCTCAAACACCTCCACACTCGACACCACGTGCTACCCACAGGCTCCAGCATGCAGGGGACGGTGCTATAAACCTCCCAGGTTCAATGCATCCTGGGGAAACTTGCTTTGTATTGTGAAAAAAAATTGTAAACCGAGGCATTATTTTCAATGGATTTTCATTTGTAAACCGAAAATTATGTTAACCGAGGTCCCACTGTATATGTATATATATACACACACACACATACACAAATACACACACACGGCGCAATATCGTGCTGTATGGAGAGTTACAACTTGATGTAGAAGTATCCATAACATTGTTTTAAATTTTTCAGGATTCTTTTTCAGGCTACTTACGGTCTCTAAAACTGCCTACTGTTTTGAATTAGCAACCGTTTTATAAGCAAACTTCATGGCTCAACTTACCTGGACAAGACTAATTAATAAAATTAGGTACTTATCCAGTGGTGATAAATCACTGGAAAAAGTAACAAGTATTTTTTAGGCCATAAACACTCACTGTGAATTGCATCATCCTGTCTTGCTTTTTAAATACTAAAATAGATTACATTGAACAGAGAATAATGTATTCTTACATAGAGGTGGTCAGGCGATGTGGTTTGTCATCATTGATCTTATTCTGATGTACATCCATCCCTCTATAATTCATGATGTGTAATTTGTCTGAAAGACTCAGAAGATCACGAGTGGGTTTTTCTGTGATAATATTCCTGGAAGATTGCTAAAATAGATGCAGTAGGTGAGTAGGGACTTTCCCTGAACTGATGTTTCACTGGGCAGTAATATCAATGGAGCAATCACTGACATGATGACTTGTCCTGTGGCACTGTGCTTATCCATAAACTGTGATTAAAGTATTGGTACTAATATTATACAGTAAACACACTTTCGAAAGTTACTTCTGTTTATTGGGTTCTATTCAATATTGCCAAATAAACAGGGCACTCACAATTTAAATATTAGTAACATACGTAACATACATAACATACTATGAGATAGAAAACAAAAAGTGTTTCTTTAGTTACTAGGTAGAGAAAAGAGTATAATTATTACTGCAGAATATAAATCTATAAAATTTAACTTGTAATAGTTTAAAGATAAAATAATTGTATTGACATAAAAAACAACCAATCCAATATATGCCCTAAATAAAATAAGAGTGTGATATTGTCTATGTGGTATTTGAAAGAAATAAACCCAATCATTATTACTACTAGAGTTGAGCAGACGCCTGGATGTTTGGGTCCAGCCGAACTTTGAAAAAAAGTCCGGGTTCGGGCTCGAACTTGACCCTGAACCCCATTGAAGTCAATAGGGACCCGAACTTTTGGCCACAAAAATGGCTCTAAAAAACTCCTGGAAAGGGCTAGAGGGCTGCAAAAGGAAGTAACATGGGGGTAAAAGTAGGACAAGTGCCCTGCAAACAAATGTGGATAGGGAAATCACTTAAAAATAACATAAAATAAGCAGCCGCTTAGTAGATAACTCCCTAATTCACACGGTATTAGGGAGCTATCTACCAAAAGGCTGAAAGACCTAAATTGGTCACCTAAATTGGTCTTTCAGCCACATTTACTAATACTAAGTAAAGATTACTTAGTATTAGTAAATTGAGCCCCTACTCACTATACTGTGAGTAGGGGCGTGTCTAGTAAACAGTGAGCCACCAGTGGCTGCTCACTGTAAAAAAAACCAAAAAAAAAAAAAACTATTGCCCCCACCCCTGTGCGACGGGTGGGGGCCCTAAATAAGAATGTGGAGGGGGGACCTACTGTCCTCCCCCCCGGCGGGTGGGGGCCCTAAATACCAATTGGGGGGAACCTAATGTCCTCTCCCCCAGCCACCACCTGCTGGCAATAAATAAAAATCCCCCCCCCAAACCTTGAGTCACCCCCCTGAAAAAAAAAAAAATCACCCCTACCTACCCCCCTCATCCTAAAAATAATGAGGGGGGACCCTTGTCTAAAATAAAACTTACCATTCGATGTTTTCTTTCTTCTAAAATCTTCTTTTTTCAGCCCCAAAAAAGGCCAAATCAAAATCCATAATAACGGACACACTTTAAAATAAATAAATAAATAAATAAAAAATCCATCTTCACTCATGGAGGGCTCCGCGCAGACTGAGCTCTGCAGGGTGGGGGGAAGGCTTATAAAGCCTTGCCCCGCCCTGCAATTAGGCTCAGAGCACTTTGATTGGTGGGTTTAAGTCATCCAATCAGAATGCTCTGACAGGTAAATTAAGAGACTGACAGGTAAGTCTCTACATTTACCTGTCAAAGCACTCTGATTGGTTGGCTTGAAATCCACCAATCAGAGTGCTCTGTGTCATTTTACACAGCGTGGGAAAGTTCTTTGGAATTTTAGGTTCCCCCCCCCCTTATTGTTATTTAGGGCCCCCACCCGCTGCGCAGGGGTGGGGGCGGAGGGAGGGCATTAGGTCCCCCCCCATTTTTTATTTATGGCCCCCACCCACCGCTCAGGGGTGGGAGCGGAGGACAGTAGGCCCCCCCCATTTTTTACTTAATGGCCCCCACCCACCGTTCAGGAGTGGGGGAGGGGGAAGGACATTAGATCCCCCTTATCGTTATTTAGAGCCCCCACCCACCACGCAGGGGTGGGGGCCGGGGGGGAGGACATTAGTTCCCCCCTTATTTTTATTTAGAGACCCAACCCGCCATGCAGGGGTGGGGGCCGGGGGGGGAGGACATTAGGTCCCCCCCTTATTGTTATTTAGGGCTCCCACCCGCCGCGCAAGGGGTGGAGGCCAGGGGGAGGACATTAGGTCCCCCCCCAATTTTTATTTATTGCCCCCACCCACTGCTCAGGTGTGGGGTCGGGGGGCCCCCACCTGCCGCACAGGGGCAAGACAGTAGGTCCCCCCTTATTGCTATTTAGGGCCCCACCAACCGATCAGCGGTGGGGGCCAGGGGAGGACAATAGGTGTTCCCTCTTATTGTTATTTAGGGCCCCAACCTGCCGCACAGGGGTGGGGGCCAGGGGGAAGACAGTAGGTCCCCCCTTATTGGTATTTAGGGCCCCACCCACCGCTCAGCGGTGGGGGCCAGGAGGGGGACAAGAGGTGTCCCCCCTTATTAGTATTTAGGGCCCCCACCCACCGCTCCTGGGTGGGGGCCGGGGAGGGCAATAGGCCCCACCTTTAGTTTAAAAGCCCCCACTCGTTGCGAGTGGGGGCTCAGGAGGGGGGAATGTTTTGTTGATTGGCTGCCCTGCAGCCTTTCAAAACGCATCATTAAATCGCCGAACTCCGACCCGAACATACCGTGATATGTCAGTGTTGGGTCCGAGGTCCAAAAAACCTAATGTTCGGTACGAACCCGAAATTTTCAGTTTGGCTTCGCTCAACTCTAATTACTACCTTTAAGTCTAAACAAGGTATTTATCTCTTTAAGAATTAAAGGTAAATATAATTTTGCAACCGCTACTTCAAGGTAGATTTTTACTAAATACAGAACACTGGCTTAAAGATAGAGTGCAGAGAGTATTTGTAAATGAAAAATGTTCACATTGAACAAAAGTGGTAAGTAGAGTGCTTCAGGGATCTATCCTGGTTCCACTTCTCTTTAAACTATCTATAAATTATGTTAAAGTGGATATTGGAAGTCATTTGTCTGTGTTTGCAGATGAGACAAAATTAGGTAAGAACATACAGTCTGAACATTGTATGGCTATTCTACAGAGGGCTTTGGATAAATTGAGTGACTGTGCAGTGGCAGAGGAAACTCAATACAGCCAAATCCAAATAACAAATCATCTGTTCATGAGCAGGTCTTAAAATGGTTAAAATAACAATCTCAGATGAAAAACAATTCACTGTGTCATGATTTATTTAACAAAAATAAAACCAAACTGGAGAAGCCACTGCTTCCTGCTTCCAAAGGAATTAAGAGACTAACTAGCAGACAGGTGCTGCTAATCAAACACCCTTAATTAATTGATCATTAATTGATCATCAACAAGTGTGACCACCTCTATAAACACTGATGTTTTAGCAGTTTGCTGATCTGGAGAATTCAGTGTTAACACAATGTCCAGGAGGAAAGATATCAGCAATGATTTTAGAGAAGTAATTGTTGCTGCCCATCAAACTGGGACATTGAAGACAGTTCCCAACCTTCCCAGAAGTGGACGTCCTAGCAAATTCACCCCAATGTCAGACTGTTCGGTGCTCAGAGAAATTGCAACAAAAAGCAAACAAAAAAAAACGATTTACATAATTAGGCTTGCATAGTTGCAACTGAACAAACCACAAGACTTGTGGAATAATGTCCTTTGGGCAGACAAGACCAAAGTGGAGATGTTTGGCCATAATGCACAGCGCCACATTTGGTGAAACCCAAAGTATATCAGCACAAATACTTTATACCATCTTTCAAGCATGTTGGTGTAGGGGTGATGATTTGAGTTTATTTTGCAGCGACAACCCAGGAACCTTGCAATCATTGAGTCAACCATGAACCTTTTCTGTATACCAAAGTATTTTAGAGTCAAATGCGAGGCCATCTGTCTAACAGCTCAAGGTTGGTCGAAATTAGCGGGAAAAGTTACTCCTCTTGTTTCTTTCCTATTCTTTTATTAATCATTGGTCGAAATTAGGTCATGCAACAGAACACCACCAGCAAATCTACAACAGAATGGCTTAAAAAGCCAAGAATCATGGTGTTGCAATGGCCCAGTCAAAGTCTAGACCTCAATCTGATGAAATGATGTGGTGGGACCTGAAGGGAGCTGTGCATAAACAAATCTGAGCAAACTTCAATGAACTGAAGCAACAGTGTAAATAAGAGTGGGCCAAAATTTCTCCACAATGATGTGAGAGACTGATAAATTCACACAGAAAACTATTATTACTAACCATTACTTCAAGCTATTGAAACATAGGGTGTACTTAGTTTTTCCAGACATGGCTTCTCCATTTTGTCTTTAGTTTTGTTAAATAAATCATGACAGGGTGTAATATGTGTTGTTGTTCATCTGAGGGTGTATTTACAGAATTTTAAGACCTGCAAATGAACAGATTATTGTTCTTCTGTCCTGATATGGAAAACCATGGAATTCAAAGAGGGTGTACTTTCTTTTTCCCATGACTGTATAGAGGGTTCATTAACAAGAATATAAAACAGATAAGAGGTCACCCATTGAGACTCAAAGAAAGGTGTTTTTGCTCACTGCAGAGGAAAGGGTTTCTTTTTTGATTTTTTTTTGGATCAACTGTATAAAAGAATGGGCTTCACAGTTGAACTTGATGGACTTTAGTCTCATATCAACCTAGACAACTGTGTAACTATTACACTGACAATCTCTGTTCATGTGATACCCACTTCTGTACCATATGTGACATCACTTAAATGCTTGTCCCGCATATTAGACTGAGTGAATGGAAGATGGACTGATGCACAGGAGACTGGAACAGCTATCTGCTCAGAAGTCGGAACTGCAATCCCCTGCAAAAGTAACATGTAAGAAATGTCAGGTGTTTGAGCAGCTACAAAATGAGTAACTGCAATCCATCAACAGTGATCTATTTGTGCTATTAAGCTTCTGCCTGTACTAGTGAAATCACAGGATCTTGCTTCTCTATTATTAGAAACTTGTCTCTGAGTCATGCATATCATCATTTTACCAGAGGCTTTTTATAGCAATCTCTGCCACATAATATATAATAATGCATTCTCAGTGCACCTCCTAGGGTTGATTTTAACATTCTGGCCCTTAAATTAAACAGTGGATAAAATGCAATAAAGGTATCAATTATTACAGTGGTCCAAAGTATACATACTGTAGAGAAAAAAAAATTGTATCTTGTAATACCTTTTTTATTGGACTAACAGATTTTTTTTAATGACAAGCCTCCCTTTCTCAAGTCTAAAACAATCTCTACTGTAGAAAATTGGATGTATTAATTATATAGTTATACTGCCTTATAATGTAATTTACCAGCTGAGAGTGAAATTATTTCGTGAATGTGCCGCTGTTCTCAGTGTTACTTATCTTGTAGAAAATATGAGAAAAGGTCATCATTTTGGCAGGGTTTTTACAACGGGGCTAATCAGGGAAAGAAGTCTGAAAACTAATATCCTTGGACATTATGAACACATTTTCAAAATTTTCCTTCACATAGTTTATTAAATAAAGATTATATGGAAACTTTAGTGATAGGTAGATAGCACAAAGTTAAAAGCTTCCAAAAAACTGTTTCCCTATCATCAGAAACAAAAACACAAACCCTAGAAAAGATACATTATGTTGCACAAACAACAAAGAAAATATCTCACCTTCATTTCCAGAGTGTGTTTTATCCGCAAGCGCATAGATTCTTGCTCCAAACGCTGAATTATTGATTGGCTTTCAGAGAACCGCAAAGCTGCCTGCAAAAAAAACCATTAGACTATCTCAGCCATGCAAGTTGATCAAGTGAGAGGAGCAGGTACTAACTCAGAAGAACCAGATCTAAGGTTCATGAACGATCTGTTTAAAGAGTTCCTCACAAAGGCATCACTCTTATGATGCCAACAGGATACTTTGTTTAGACAAAGACTGACAAAATTATCATAAGTGTACTTTAATAACGGTTGAAAGCTATTTGCTACCCACATCTGGTATAGGATGTACTGCGTTCTCTGCCTCCTGAAACACATCTTTACCTATAAAATAAATCCTATAGTGTCTAGCACCATGTTAGTTAACATTTTGTGAAATGTACCAACAGCTTAACATGAACCAGATCATTCACTCTGCGTGAATGTATAGTTAATCTATAGGCGAAGGTTCAGTGAATTTATGGTTAATCTATCGGTGAATGTTCAGTTCCCCAGGCTTACAATTGTGCATTAGGTGGAAAAGCTATGGGGGGAGGGGGGGGAGGAGGGGTGAAAGAAATACCTTATCCATGGAAGATTGCATTCTTGAGACTTGATCTTTCAAAGTTTTATTCTCATCGCGTAATGTTTCTAGGTTTTCAGAGAGCCTGCACCTTTCTGCATTTACATGCTCCTGCGTCAGCTTGTCCTCCTCTTTTAAGCGTTGTTTCTCCTGTTTGAAGTCACACAAGCTTATTTATGAACACACACTATTACAATGTTCCTAACTACTGTGATATACTGTTTGTATAGTTTGTAGATATGCTCAGAAAGGGTTTACGAATATGAAACTCTAGTCATGTGGTTATTGCAGTGGTAATGTCACTGCTTTGGAACTGGGAAACACAAGTTTGAATCTTACCAGCCAGTAAGTGTCCTTGGGCCAGTCACCTAATGATATTTTACTACCTACCTCAAATCCTCATAGATTGTAAGCTCATTTGAGCAGGGCTATATTTATCCACTTTCTATTGTAAAGCGTTGTGGTATATGTTGGCACTATATAAATGCTAATAATAATATTGCAGAAGGTTATAGATAATCCAAGAATTAGAACTCAGATATGGCCAGTAAGATGAGCTCCAACTTAAATAAGGCCGACTGAATTTTACATGACAGGAGGCTTTACATTTGCATATCTTTCTTTACGGAACAAAGAAAAAAACTTAATGGAAACAAAGAACCAATCAAAAACAATCAAAGTATGTATGATGTGAAGCAGTCTTAAGCACCTCATATTTCTTTGGTGGTTCCTTCTTTGCTGCTGCATACTGGGAACAGGTCATAGTTTTTTACTCTTCTTTGTTATTTTGTCATTGCTACGGTTTTACACTATTTGATATTACGTTCTATTTATGATCCTTCCACCTTAATTTTTCTCCCCTCTTTTGCCTGTTTCTGTACAAGGTTATTTGGGGAGGGTGCTCCTCTTTGGGATCTGTCTAGTACTTTCCCCTTTTCTGTGCTGTGATATATCCCTTCCCCTTCTTCTATTTCCTGCCGCCCATTTGTGCACTCATTAGGTCAGAGCTTTATTCCTGTTTTGTGTGTTTCCCCCTGTTGCTTAGGAGGCTCTAGTAGCTTTCTCTGCCCTCCCTAATGTATACCACTGTGTTGGAGTACTGTCCTCCAACCCCTCGTTTCCAGCATTATCTTGTGGTCACAGTAGCATTATCTTGTGGTCACATAGTTTGCTACATGGAAGACTTCCTACAACGCAAGGGGAGCCTATCACTATCCTTGTTGCATCTGAAGTCTGGGACTTTGGTAATACTATGGTCATGTTGATTACTTGCCTTTAGCAAGTATGTATTAAGAGCCTTTATGCAGCTTGTCACCGGCAAATGTTTTTCTATACCCACATCACCTGTTGGGTGTCTAATCTATAAATGCATGTAAACCCACATTATTGTTACATGCCACTCTCTTCTTTGTTTAATAATCTTGCTGAGGTGATCACTCTTTTTATTCTACAATGTATTTTTCATGGATATCTTTAAGGTACTTGATGTCAGTCTCTGTCCTGAGCCGCTGTATTACTGATTGAGCAGTTTCACTCCATATTGGAGCCTGTTCCTGCAGCCTTTTTCTGTACTTCCAACTTAATTGGGTTGGTGTTTCTTTGTGCTTATTGTTGGGTAAACCCCTGGTAATTTTCATATCGTACGTACCTACCTTGTGTGTAGATTTTGGTATGCTGCATAATTGTGTTTCACATCATAATATACCTTACAGTACTGCCCTTTTCTCTAAAGGCTTACTGTCTGTTGGGTGTGCCCTTTGCCCTCTTTGTGCCTCTACTCTCTAGAAATGTAAGAGTCAAAAGCCCCACAAGTCGACTTGCAGTCTATGATCAATACGGTTGTTGCCACTACAGTGGAACAAGTCCTCTCTAAGGTCCTATCCCAAACACCTATACCAGCGAGGTCATCCCCTGCTGTGAGATTTTCTTTGCATAGTTCGGCAGACTCTGATGACTCTGATACCTCTGCCAGTGAACGCTCCTGTCCCACCAAGCGCCATTGGAAAGGTACAGGCTCTCAACCCCGGAGGTCCAAAGGTAAGATTCCTACCAAGAAGCCTAAAGGCTGCTGCACCGGCTCCTGAGCACCTCAGTTCTTGATGTATACCCAGTCATTGTGGACAAATCACAATGGGAACTGTAACCGGGGCGTTTCCCAAGGACTGAGGGATGATGATTAGGTGTGGGATGCTGATACAAAGTCAGAATTGGCATACATCCATGAGACGTTTCAGCGTGAGCCCCAGTCTAATGTGGACATGGGATGTGCTTTCGCAGGACGACTCTAGTCAGAGGATGTTTGACCCACATAACACCCAACACCCTCGCTGGTGGAGTTGGATACTGCCAGATCATCTGTCCAAATTCATGCATTTTTTGTTCCAGAAGCTGCTGGAGAGGGACGTTCAGAACTGCTATGGTCAGAATGTTCACAGCCAGATATAATTGTACAAACACCTGAATCTGAGCCACTCATGATGGCCTTCATAGCGCGCAGTGGGTGGGACCTTCATAAGGGCATCAAAAAGGGCTCTAAGAGAGCTCAATATAAGCTCCCCATACAATTGGACCTTTCTCCGGCATTATGTACCTGGCAGACTATGCGTTGTCCAGGGATGGTTCGTTTGACACTATGTTGCATGAATTGGCCCAACAGTGTTTTTTCTTTGTGAGTAACACCAACATTAACCCCTGGCCCTTATTTTAATCAACCCTTACCCTTATACCCAGAAGAGGGCAGACACCAACTTTACAAATACCAGAGGTGTATGGACAGAGGTCGTGGTTGACATGGACAAGCAAACTTCTCCTTATGTATTATCTCACTGGTGGCAAAGCTGCAGATTGTCATCCACCTTTTTTTCCCAGAACTGGGCAGACATTTCCGACAGAGTTCACATTGGTGCCACTTCCCATTCATTTTTCGGTAGACAATGCTTGGCTAGTTGATACAAAGGTTCACAGATTGCACCAAAAAGGTCATTGTAGTTAAAAAAAAAAATCCGTATGGCATTTCAGGCCTGTGCTAAATTTGAGAGACAACTCTTATGTAGTAAACAGCCATTTCAAAATCCATCTTGTGAGGTACATTCTCCATAATGGAAACTGGTTCACTTGTCTTGACTTAAAAGGATGTGTACCACTCAGTTCCCATCCATCTGTCCAATCAATGCTTCCTCTAATTCCGCTGACATACCTTCCTTCTTCAGCTCAGCACGGTGTTTCACGAAACTTCTGAAACTGGTGTTGGCCCATCTGCAAGCATGGTGGATTCGTTGCATTTTCTACTTGGACGATATTATGATTTTATGATCAGAATCATCAAGGTTGCATTGTCAAACTTTCTTCATTGTGCATTTTTTTCGAGGGTTCAGCAAAAATTAGTCCAAGCCGGCTCTGGTTTCTTCTCAGTTGGTTCAATTCTTGGGTTTCGACATCAATTCTGTCACTTATGTCCTCAAACTTTCAAGCTCGAAGATCTAATCGATTGGAATGGAAATATGCAAAGTACTGCAACTTGGTTCTATCTTGTTAAGACAACTTGCAAGCATGATAGGCCTTCTATCCTCTTCCATTCAGGCCATTTTTCCAGGTACACTGCACTACTTCTTCATTTGGTCCCTCTGACGGAGGATATATTTTTGTCAGAACTGCAATGGTGTCTTCTACATGCCATCTTCAGTCCACATCCACATATAGTAATGGAGCCAGCCAACCTGTGGAGGTATACGACTTTTGTCTCGCTCGCAATATTACTTTGAGAGCAGAATGCCTTCCAGGAGAGTTGAATCTAAAAGCGGATTGGTTCTCCCATCTGAATATTTTCCCACCCTTCCTCACCCTTTTCTTTTTTTTTTTCCTTTTTTTTTTTATAAATTATATTATAGAATCTTTTTTGCTACACAAAAAGTCAAAATCTGAAAGGTGCCACCCTAACTCTGCTTACATTTTACAACCAATCTAGGGTCTAGTGAAGTTTTATCTGGGTGTTCTCTGGGAGGAAGTGACTGTCTTTGACTTCCTCATTATTAAAGGGCCGGAATGCGCTGTTAAAGGGCCGCAGTGCACGACCGGGCCCCTGAAGACACTTTACCATCGGGTGACCCTAAGTCAATGGGTTATTCACTAAAGTGAGAAATCAAGGTGAATTCAAAGTGAATTGTAAGCTTAAGGTGACCTTAAGAATTTTGTTCAGCCTATATAGACACGCTATGAAGATTTGGGTCAGCCTATACAGACATGCTGAAATGGATAAATTCTCTAACACAGTTATGCTTTCAGCTCAGCTATTATGGCCTGAAATTTGAAAATTAATTTTGAATTCACTTTGAATTCTCACTTTAGTAAGTAACCCTGTACAATATTAATGTTCAAGAAGCAGAACATTTTAAAAATCTTTTATAATAAGCTATTAAGATGAGTGCTTTAAAAAGGAAATCATAAAATCCTGCTTTTTTTTTTTTTTTACCTTATTGGCACGGGAGAGAGCTTCCTCCAGGAACTGAATCCTGCTTTGCAGAGTGTCTATCTTCTCTCTTTTTGCTGTCATTTTCTTTTGCATTCTCAATGCTACTTTAACAGCTGTAAAATTATAATAATAATAATTTTAAAAGGCACTACTAAAATGACTCAATGATTAAAATAGGTCTTGTTTCAACATACTTTAAAGCATACTTTAGTGTCTGCATACACTAAACAAAACATAAAGGAATCAAAATCATATTTAATCATTCTGCTGGAAATCAGATTGAGTTACTGTGAACCGACGATAGCTGTAATTAATTAATATTACACCTAGCACTCACGTATACTGTGCTATCAAGTTGTATAGGGTTGACCAGGAACATGTTAACAAAATATAAATATATATTTGGCCATGTATTTTGAAGAAAGGGGACATGTTTAAAACATATCTAATCAATATTATAAATATTTAAAAATGTATTTTTATAAATTGTCCAAGAAGTGTTATTTTCTTGTAACAGAACAACTGCACACAGAGATCACCTCCTACTGAGATGCATTAATAATGTGGAATTAATAAGTTCATATTCTCATTCTGTAAATTTCATCTAAAGTGGAAGTGATAATTCCACAGGTCAGTGTGGCTGGGGGGTGGCCTTCAGGCGTCATAGAATGTCCCGGGAAGCCAATGGACAACCAATACAGCCAAGTGTTCATGTTATTAAGAAAGAAAGGGTCCATTGTACAGTTCAAGTGCTTACCATGTCCATCACAGCCTTCTATGATCCTTAAAATGCTTTTTGTTTGTTCCAGTTCAGTAAGCACAGTATGAAGTTGTGTTTTAAGAGATGCACTCGTGCCCACCAACTCCTCATTTTTAACTTGGTAATTCTTTTTTACCACTGCATAATCAGCTGTAAAAACAGTGATATTTAGAAAGGAGATAATTATAGTTAATATTTGCAGCAGAAAAATTGCCTAGAAAGATAGATAAAGTGAGAGCATGGGTCACTGGTAACACAAATAGAGTATACAATTGGTACAAAACAAGAAAAGTAGAGAACTCATTTTCAATTGTCTTGATGTTCCAGTTTATTAATGCAGCATTCGCCCTATGCTCAATGGCATATGGAACAAGAGCCTTGTGTGATGTTTACTATTGATTTCACAACCAAGGAAACCATAAAATGTGTCAAAAACTTGTCTAAGGGCAACAATACATTTGTGATAATTATGGTGCATGGGTTTAGTTTCTTACCACAGTGGCTTATCCTATTCCAATGGTAAATAAAAAATGTTTTCCAATAAATTACATATATACATATTTACCAAAACACACACACACACACACACACACACACACATTATATATAAAGTTATTTATTATATATGAAATGTTGGGAATTAAATGCAAGTTTAACCATTCATTTTATACACAAGGACATAAAAGAAGGCAAATGTAATATAAAATGTTTATTAATGGTTTGTTAGCATAACGCATATCATAATTCAGAATATATAGATTGTTGGGCCAAACGATCCTAACAAGAGCAGTGAAAGATCCCTCCTCCCTTTCCACACCCATGGACTTGTTTACATATATAGACACAGTTTCAAACAGGTGATTATTAGATTATTAGTGATGCTTCTAAGTGTGTGGTTGGAGATAACCTCGAGGTAATCTGAGGTATTCAGGAGGATAAATGAAAAGTTAAGATTCGTTTGATTTAAATTATTCACCTCATTGGAATGGCAGACTTAGTTCAGTGTAATAGTTGCTATGCATTTGTTTCACGTTCCACTTTTTGGAGGTTTGGTTGTTGTCTAATCTGTAGACAGTTCTCTATCTTGCGGCAGGAGATTGTATTTTTGAAGTCTGAGATTTATAAATTATCTGGTAAACAAACTCAGGTTGGAACTGCTGCAAAGCCACTGCCACAGAGACATACTAGGAATGGCAGATGGATTACTGTAGGATCTGGTAGACTTAGAGTTGTGGATAAAAGGCATATTGCACAGTCTGTTGCTCTACATAATTCATTTTCTGCACTTTCAGAGTGTAATGGTGTTATAGAGACAGGCACGGAGGGTAGTGGTGTTGTGGAGAGAGGCACTGAGGCTAGTGGTGTTGTGGAGACAGGCTCAGGCACAGAGGCTAGTGGTGTTGTGGAGACAGGCTCAGGCACTGAGGCTAGTGGTGTTGTGGAGACAGGCTCAGGCACTGAGGCTAGTGGTGTTGTGGAGACAGGCTCAGGCACTGAGGTTAGTGGTGTTGTGGAGACAGGCTCAGGCACTGAGGCTAGTGGTGTTGTGGAGACAGGCTCAGGCACTGAGGCTAGTGGTGTTGTGGAGACAGGCTCAGGCACTGAGGCTAGTGGTGCTGTGGAGACAGGCTTGGAGACTATGGTATGGCCTAATAGAAAGCAGTTGTTTTGGGGGATTCCATCATAAGAGGTGTGGAGATGGACAATGGTGGTCTTGTGAGGTGTCGTCACGGAGCTACTGCTCACAGAGACAGGAGACGTATCTGTAATATTGTTAAGCGAGCAAAGCAGGAAGGGGAATTGGATGTACTTCTAGGGACAAATGACTTGGCTTGCAATGAGGTTTCATAGGTTAAGGAAGTTTCTAGTGTTTTTGCCAATGATATACGGCAGGTTACTTCCACACTGTCATTCTCTTAAAATCTGCCTGTGCATAACACTCAGAACGACAGGCGGATGCGTATTAGGGACTTGTGGCTTGGTGAATGGCGTCGGGAGCAAGGATTTGGCTTTATTTCTCATGCTAGCTCTGTTTGGAATGGAAATAAAGTGTACAAAAAAGATGGTTTGCATCTTTCTCAAAAGGGAACAAATGTTCTCAGTGAGCAGTTCAGAGGTTTTGCAAGGATGTATTTAAACTAGGAGGGGGGTGGGGGCAAAAGGGTGATAAAACATAAATCCAATTGTCCCCCAAAACAAGGCAGAAGGTGCCTGTAGCAAGTGTGTTAAAAAAAAAAATGATAAGCTTAGAGTCATGTCTACAAATGCTCGCAGTTTAGGGAATAAGATCCATGAACTTGTGGCAATAATGGCAACTGATAATGTAGATTTAGTCTCTGTTAATGAGACATGGTATAATGAGAAAAATGACTGGGACATAGCAATACCAGGGTACTCTTTATATAGAAAAGACAGGGAAGGCAAGAAAGGGGGAGGGGTGGCCCTGTATGTGAAGGATATCATAAAATCTAGCCTAAGAAAAGTTAGTGAGGCAAACAGAGTCCGTTTGGGGTTACGTTAGAATTTGGTAATCACACAGTAACTCGTGTAGGTGTAATTTATAGGCACCCAGGACAAATTGAAGAGTCAGATAATCTACTAGTTGAGGAAATAGCTAAAATGACAATGAAGTGGGAAGTTATCATCATGGGTGACTTTAATCTTCCTGATGTGAATTGGAAAACAAAAATAGCTGCTTGTGCCAGGAGCACACATATTCTAAACTCCCTACTGGGATTGTCTCTAAAACAAGTCGTTGAGGAGCCAACTTGTAAAGTGGCCATACTAGATTTAGTGTTAAAGGACCACTCTAGGCACCCAGACCACTTCAGCTTAATGAAGTGGTCTGGGTGCCAGGTCCAGCTAGGATTAACCCATTTTTTTTATAAGCATAGCAGTTTCAGAGAAACTGCTATGTTTATAAATGGGTTAATCCTTCCTCCAAAGCCTCTAGCGGCTGTCTCATTGACAGCCGCTAGAGGCGCTTGCGTGCTTCTCACTGTAAAATTCACAGTGAGAGCACGCAAGCGTCCATAGGAAAGCGACCGGCTGTATGCGACCGGCTGAATGCGCGTGCAGCTCTTGCCGGGCGTGCGCATTCAGCTGAATGGGCAGAGAGGAGGAGGATCGGAAGAGGAGAGTTTCCCACCCAGCGCTGGAAAAAGGTAAGTTTTTACCCCTTTCCCCTTTAGTGCCAGGAAAACGAGTATGTTTTCCTGGCACTATAGTGGTCTTTTAACAAATAGAGATTTGGTATCAGATATTACTGTAGGTGAAAGTTTAGGATCCAGTGATCATCAGTCAGTGTGGTTTAATATAAGAACAGTGACAGAGTCACACCACACAAAAACAAAAGTTTTAGACTTTAGAAAAACAGACTTTTATAAAATTAGAATATGTGTAAAGGAGTCATTATCAGACTGGAGCAATATAAATGGAGTCCAAGAGAAATGGGATTATTTAAAAGTCGCACTACCGAAGGCAACAGAAAATTGCATTAGGCTTGTCAATAAAAGCAAAACATTCAAGAAACCACTATGGTACTCCGCAGATGTGGCCAAAATAGTAAAAAACAAAAAGTTAGCATTTAGTAATTATAAAAAAAAACAGAGTGAGGAAGACAGAATGATCTATAACATTAGGCAGAAAGAGGCTAAGCAAGTTATAAGAGCTTCCAAATCACACACAGAAGAGAAAATAGCACAGTCAGTAAATAAGGGGGACAAAACTTTTTTTAGATACATAAATGAGTAAAGAAAAGTAAAACAAGGATTAGTTAGATTAAAAACAAAAGAAGGAAGGTATGTAGAAGAGGTTAAAGGTCTAGCTGACTGCCTCAATTAATATTTTTGTTAAGTATTTACAGATGAAAATGAAGGAAAGGGACCTCAGTTAAGAAAAAGGATAAATGAGTCATTTATTACACGTGAGTTTACAGAGGAAGAGGTTCTATTTCAACTGTCAAAAGTAAAGACAAATAAGTCAATAGGACCTGATGGAATACACCCAAAGCTATTAAAAGAGCTTAGTGGTGTACTAGCAAAACCATTAACAGATTTATTTAACCAATCATTGTTAACAGGAGTAGTCCCAGAAGATTGTAAGTTAGCGAATGTTGTGTCCATTCACAAGAAAGGTAATGGGGAGGAGTCGGGCAACTATAGGCCAGTAAGTCTTACTTCAGTAGTGGGGAAAGTAATGGAAACCATGTTAAATGATAGGATTGTTGAACATCTAAAAACACATGGATTTCAAGATCAGAGAAAACCCATGTTACTTCAGGGAGATCATGCCAAACTAATCTTGTTGATTTTTTTGATTGGGTAACTAAAATTATAAATCAGGGTGATGCAGTAGACATTGCTTACCTAGATTTCAGTAAGGCTTTTGACACTGTTGCACATAAAAGACTTATCAATAAACTGCAATCTTTAAGTTTGGATTCCAATATTGTTGAATGGGTAAGGCAGTGGCTGAGTGACAGGCAACACAGGGTTGTAGTCAATGGAGTATATTCCAAGCTTGGGCTTGTCACCAGTGGGGTACCTCAGGGGTCTGTACTTGGACCCATTCTCTTTAATATTTTTATTAGTGATATTGCAGAAGGTCTTGATGGTAAGGTATGTCTTTTTGCTGATGATACTAAGATATGTAACAGGGTTGATGTTCCAGGAGGGATAAGCCAAATGATTTATGTAAACTAGAAAAATGGTCAGAGTTGTGGCAACTGACATTTAATGTGGATAAGTGCAAGATAATGCATCTTGGATGTAAAAACCCAAGGGCAGCGTACAGAATATTTGATAGAGTCCTAACCTCAACATCTGAGGAAAGGATATTGATACTTTAGAGAGAGTTCAAAGAAGGGCTACTAAACTGGTTCATGGATTGCAGGATAAAACTTACCAGGAAAGGTTAAAGGATCTTAACATGTATAGCTTGGAGGAAAGACGAGACAGGGGGGATATGATAGAAACATTTAAATACATAAAGGGAATCAACACAGTAAAGGAGGAGACTATATTTAAAAGAAGAAAAACTACCACAACAAGAGGACATAGTCTTAAATTAGAGGGACAAAGGTTTAAAAATAATATCAGGAAGTATTACTTTACTGAGAGGGTAGTGGATGCATGCAATAGCCTTCCAGCTGAAGTGGTAGAGGTTAACACAGTAAAGGAGTTTAAGCATGCGTGGGATAGGCATAAGGCTATCCTAACTATAAGATAAGGCCAGGGACTAATGAAAGTATTTAGAAAATTGGGCAGACTAGATGGGCCGAATGGTTCTTATCTGCCACCACATTCTATTAGTAGCTGGTATTGGTCTCAGTCCTAAATCTTTATATCAAATTTCAATTCACATACTCTTTGGTCTCCTCGCATTAACCTCTTTTGCACACTTTCCCTCACACACCCATTTCATATTTTCTAATTTTATCTGGCATGCTTCACTGCCTCTAACCCCAATCACTATCTTTTCCTCTGTCCCTATTCTAAAATGTTCTCCACTTTATTATTTTTTTAATTCCTCTGTTGCCTGCCTGTTTTCCAAAACTCTTTTGTCATTTAATGTACCACATACATCCCATACAATGCATTCTTCTCCTTCTTTACAACATTCACACCTTCTCTCCACCCAAGCTTGCTCCTTATATGGATTCTTCTAGTCCCCCTCCAGCACCACCAAATCTCACTCTTAGTGAGATTTATTGGGGGCTGAATAAAAGAAGATTTTTAAGAATAAAGACTTCTTAAGGTAACTATGTATAATTTTTATTTTACAGACATTAGTATCCTGGTCCCCTCACAATTATTTCTCATGAGGTGGATAGGTAGGGTTATTTAGGGGCCTGACCATAATACTAATTGAGGGGGATAATGGCCTTTCCCGCCCTCCTCCTTGTATAATTATTTAGAGCCCCCACTTGCTGCCCATGGGTGAATGTTGTGGTGTATGATTTTTTTTTAGGGTCCCTATCCACTGCCAATGGGTGTGGGCTGTGGGACACTAGTCATCCCCCATTTAATACAAAGCCCACACATACTGACCATGGGTATGGCCGGGGGAAGACGACATTATTTAATTAAAGTCCCCCACCCAATGCCCATACCTATGTCCATGAGATGTGGTATGTCTCATGACTGGGCATAAAAGGCTGCCCAGTTGCTTGTTTTAAATAATTAGTAGCTATGGCCCCCACCTGCCATGTATCAGGTGGGGACATAGGAGGGTTTAAAACCTCACTTAAGTAATATGGCGGTAATATTGAACCCGACTTTATTTATATTTTAATGTGGTGGCTGGCTAGCAAGCACTGGCCAGCCACCACATGGCTAATTGCCTTGCAAAGCAGAGGGTTATTTAAATAGCTTGATTTTTTTGGATCTGTATTGGAAGCATCAGGGCACGGTTTTGAAGCATTTCAGCAATCCGCAATCATTCGGTTCCATCTGAAACTGACCTATTTCAGGCTCATTCAGACCCTGAGATGCAAACAGGTGTGCACATTTTAATGATATGAGTTTAAAATAGCTTCATACATATTGAACAATGGCATATACATACATACATACATATATATATATATATATATATATATATATATAAATATATATAAATATATATTCACACACTGTTAGTTGCTATTTGACTAAACCATAAACATCAATAGGGTTAACTGACAATTTACATTATAAAACATCAAATATGGATGCATGACCATTCCTCTTTAAAACATGGTTCTTACAGATTTTATTTACAAGTAATTTGGCAGATATTGCGGGCACTGTACTTTACCTTCCAAATTCCCATAGTTATGGCGAGCGTCTTTAAGCTCCGACATTAATCGATCTCTTTCTGTTCTTAGCTCGATAGTTGCATTTGACAGTTCGGTTTTCTCTAACTCCAACTCACAAATTCTTGAATTATTCTTTTCTGCCATTGACTAAAGTAATCAAATGTTTAATGAAAATAGACACATCTATGTTAACCTATGTGTAATTATAAGGAAATGTCCCACAGGATCTTAGGATCTATTAAGAGGTTTCAATGGGTCTGGAATGTTAGGATCAAACACAAATATAAATCTATACAATAGTGAAGTATTGTAACACTGTGTAATATTGCATGGTTATCAACTGCACTCACAAGATTTTAGGGGTTATAATGCCCCGATGTCGCTCAGGTTAGGGGTTATCCCATAGTGCGTCAATTTGTATTGGAGGATAAATCAAGTAAAATACAAATGAGATTGCATCCTGTTAAATAAAATGCCACCGATAAATTGGTTCAATATACTTCCTGATTTCTGTATGGATAAACTTGTGAAAACTCATAGAGATTCTACCTACCATCAATATTTATATATGGATAGAGGAATACATTATGAGCCCTAAAGGGAGTATAATAACACTGGCAAGTTTGCGTATTGAATTTGTTACAATGTAACTTTGTAATATATGTTTTGATTATCGCCTATCCTAGGATTAAATTAAAACAATGTTTAATTTTGAAATATATCACTACATACATATATATATATATATATATATATATATATATATATATATATATATATATATATATATATATATATATATATATATTTTTTTTTTTTTTTTTTTAAATACTTTTAGATATCAAGTGCTTGAAAGACAGACAGACAGTGTGTCTGAAACGCACCGTGAAATGCATACAGAACCAACACAGGAAGGAGGATCAAGAGACATGGACCAATAAAATGTTTTATATGGACACCAGGGGGAGGGGTTTGGTATGCACTTTTGTCTGTGGCATTTATTTGTTTTTAATTATTACTTCCTGCAAGTGATCGCTGAGAAAGTCCAAGGCAACTGGATGAAACGCTTAGGGCCTGTACTTGCTTTTAATATGTTAAAATACATTTATTTTTAACCTGCACTGGTGTTGCCTGAGTATTCCTATGGAGATCTCTAGAGGAGGAGTCATACGGACAGCCTCCTGGGATATCTCAGAGCAGCTTCATGGCATTATAACTCCTAAATTCTTGGGAGTGCAATTAATAACCATGCAATAATACACAGTGTTACAATACTTCACTATTGTGTATATTTTTATTTAGGAAAAGCTGAAACCCCATTTGTATGTTTTGTTGGATACTAATTAGCAATTTTTTAACATTACAAGTTCTATCATGGTGACTGCCATTAGCCACTTACGTTAGGGACAGCCTTTTATGTGAATAGTGACATCTGGGTAGAAGTTAATTCAACAATGGAATGAGCCACTCATTTGTAGCATCCTTTAAGTAGTTATTCTATTTCTGTAAAATGTGTTTAGTTTGAAGAAATAATAACATGCTTTGAATTGTCATTATCCCTACTATTTACCGGTCTGTGTCTACTTATGTACTATACACTGATCAGCCACAATATGAAAACCACTGATAGGTGAAGTGAATAACATTGATTATATTGTTACAATGGCACCTGCCAAGGGGTGGGATTTATTAGGCAGTAAGTGAACATCCGGGCCCAGATTTGAAGCATTTAGGACTGGATATCAGCCATCCGCAATCATTCAGAGTGTCCATGATGACCCCTGTCCACTGCTGAAAGCACCCTCAATGGGGAAGTGAGCATCAGAACTGGATCATGGAGCAATGGAAGAAGGTTTTCTGGTCTGATGAATCACATTTTCTTTTAGATCAGGTGGATTATTATTATTATGATGTTATTTATATAGCGCCATAAAATTCCGCAGCGCTTTACAATGGGTGGACGAACAGACATGTAGTTGTAACCAGACAATTTGGACACACAGGAACAGAGGGGTTGAGGGCTCTGCTCAATGAGCTTACATGCTAGAGGGAGTGGGGTAAAGTGACACAAAAAGGTAAGGATAGTATTAGATTAGTGACAGTTGCAAAAGAGGAATCAGTTAGGAGCTATTACTAGTTTAATTGAAGAAGTGGGTTTTTAATGATTTCTTGAAGGAGTGGAGACTGGGTGAGCATCTAATGGAGGAAGGAAACGAGTTCCACAGGAACGGTGCAGCCTTCGAGAAGTCTTGAAGGCGAGCATCAGAGGTGGGAGTACGGACAGAAGATAGACGCAAGTCTTCAGCAGATCGTAAGGGCCTAGACAGGACATACTTGTGTATTAGGGAGGATATATAGGTGGGAGCAGCATTATGTAGAGATTTGAAAGCAAGAACCAGAATTTTAAATTGAGCCCTACATCTTACAGGAAGCCAATGTAGGGACTGACAGAAGGGTGAGGCGTGGAAATGTGGGCGGACAGGAAGATGAGCCTCGCCACCGCATTCATTATGGACTGTAATGGTGCAAGTTGGGAGCACGTAAGACCACTGAGAAGTGGATTACAGTAGTCAAGGAGAGAAAGGACAGTGGAATGGAGCAGCACCTTAGTTGCATCTGGCGTTAAGTAGAGTCGGATGCGCGCAAAATTTTTGAGATGGAAACGACAGGATTTGGCGATAGACTGAACATGAGGCTTGAAGGAGAGGTCGGAGTCAAAGAGAATACCTAGGCAGCGAGCCTGCGTGGTGGAGCTGATGGTAGCACATTTGACTTGGAGGGAGACAGACACAAGAGTAGGAACACTTGGGGGAGGAAAGATCAGAATGAGTCTTTCCTCCCTCAAGACCAGAGGAGGTGGATGGCTGGATGCATGTGTGTCATTTACCTGGGGAACAGATGGCAGAAGGATACAATATGGGAAATAGGCAGGCCAGTAGAAGCAGTATTATGCTATTGGCAATGTTCTGCTGGGAAACCATGGGTCCTGGCATTCATGTTACTTTGATACCACCTACCTATAGACTGTTGTAGACCACATAGGCCCCTTCATTACAATGGTGTTCCGTGATGGCAGTGGCCTCTTTCAGCAGAATATTGCACCCTGCCACACTGAAATTGTTTTTGTCAAGAATGGTTTGACGAACATGACAAAGAATTCAAGGTGTTGCCTTGGCCTCCAAAGTCCCCAGATCTCAATCTGATTGAGCATCGGTCGGATGTGCTGGAATAGCAAATCCGATCAATGGAGGCCCCATCTCGCAAATTGCAGGACTTAATTGATCTGCTGCTAATGCCTTTGTGCCAGATACCACAGAACATGTTCAGAGGTCTTGTGGAGTCCATGCCTTCACGTCTCAGTTTTTTTACAAAACGAAGGGGACCTACATATATTAGGCAGGTGGTTTTAATGTTGTGGCTGATCAGTGTATATCCATGTTTTAACCAGGGCTACTTTGTGGGTTAATAAGCTCTAATACAATGAGAGATGCTTTGACATTATATCAGCCTTGTTGTACTAAAAGTTATTATCATATAATAATTATTGAATGGACTTGCCTTCATTTCTTCCAGAAGCTGGGCATTCCTCGCCTGCAAGACATTTAACTTCTCACTTTGTTGTCCAACTGCTTGGAAGAGATGTTCTATTTGGAGATGCAAGGCTTTTATGTAGTGATCCTTTTCAGCCATGTAGACCCTCATCTTTTCTATTTCTGTCTGCATTTTATCTAAATCAATGTTGTCAATTTCACATTTTTTGTTTTCTGCACGCAGCTTCTTCAGTTTTCCCATTGTATTCTTTAACATTGCATCTTTCTCCTCCAAAAGTATTTTTAAGTCTTCTATGCTCTTCTCTGCACTTTGCAAGGTGAAGGTTTTAGCTTGAAGGTCTTGAGCAGTCTTATCCAGCAACTCTTTTGTAGACTCCAGTTGGGATAAGGTGAATTTCATTCCTTCATTTTTTTCATTTATAACTGCAATCTAATAATAATTAGAAGGAGTGTGTTTAGTTAATAATTAAAATATTACTGTAATTAATAAATTGTAGTGTACTGAAAATTCACAAAGCAAATTTGGACGAAAATAACCATGTTTAATCTATTTATCAATTAGATTAAAAATACTCTACCAACATTTTTAAACTCTGTTTTAAATGTGTTGCTTAGTAATTAAACCCTGCATTCCCTTTAAATATTTGAACCGGTCATGCCTCCTATGTGGAATATTCACCCCAATCTGCCTGATTATCATGGGTTGCTAAGGACCCACACTCAGCTGATTTAAGGGGACAACACTCACTCTGTAGAAAGCTTGCTACCGACCTAAACTCTGCTGATTTAGGCAGTTATTACTCATTTTGTAGCCAGAATTCTTGGTTTATTTGGCATGGGGTCTGGAAGCAAGAAATTATTTGTGTTCCTCTACAGTTTTTATTATTGGGATTTGGGGTTTTGCAACACATTTGCTAAAAGTATTTGTTGTAGTTCTTTCTGTGTGTTGGATTAGCATTGTTACTGATAGAACACTTGGCAGGTAATGGATTTATCTTTCAGGCTATGCACGGAGGGCTAATTAGATGAATTACAAAGGAGTAAGGGTAGATTCTTAGCTCTTGTTAGGCTGGACCCCTCTACCATTTTAACAATTTACAGCATCGCCCAGGTTTTATCGTAAAAGGTTCCCCATTGTTACATCGATTTTATTTTCTAGAACACACTTTGCATTATTAAGTCTTGGCAATTTGTTATGTTAGCGCCTCTGGAATTGACCCCACACTGCGATATAATGTACCCTAGGCCAACTCACCTGTTCTTTCATTTGTCTCTCATGGGTTTCTTTCAGCATATTGACTTTGGCATGAAGATTCTCTATTTCTTTGCTGCGTTCTGCTAGATCTCTATTGATTTTCTCATTGGTCAGGATATTGATTTTCTTTTCGTCCAGCAATTGTTTCCTCTGTTCTTTTTCCAAGTTCAGTTGTTTTTCACAAGCTTGTAGTGATTTCTTTGTAGTGAATGAAAAATAAAGGTTTATTAACTTAGTAGATTGGCCTTTCCTTATTAAAACTTTATGAAATAAGGTTGAAATGCAGTGTATTATAGCAGACACGTACAGGGAATCTTATTTTTTTACCTGAACTATTAATAATAAATGAATAAATGTGTATGAGTTTCTATGTCTCTGTGACAGGAAGTATTCACCATATTTTCTAGAGGCTTATGATCGGAAACACAAATTCTCCAATGCAATGCACACAAGAGGAGGAGACAGGCGGAGTTGTTTTCCGGAGTACATCCCCACTTGTCTCTCCCATTGTAAGTAAAGCTCTGTGGGCGGCCCTTCTTCGGATTGCCAAGCAAAATAGCTGAGACATGGGGCGGGGGGGGAGAAGGGGGGAGAAAAAGGAACTCTTTTAAATATGACGTAGTTTGTCACATACAGATTGTCCTCTGTATGTCACATGTGCTGGGGCTGCCACTAGATCCCTCCTAACTGTATTTATTATGGTAAGTGGGAGAGGAAGGCCATTCCCCACATTCTGAGGATGTGGGAGGCAGCATGCAGGCAGGCCCACATTCTCCAAATTTAGCAGAATAGTAGTAGAATAACAGAACATTGTGTGATTATCTGAAACCAGGAAATACAGAACTAACTAATGAAGAAACAATATATATATATATATTTAAATTGTATATGAGGGGCTGGGGAGGATATCATGATCACATTCTGGAAAGCAAAACTTCAATAAAATAGTAATTAGATTAGAAATGGAAATCATACCCTTAGCTGATGGAGTTTTTCATCTTGTTTCCATACGTCCTGTGTATGTTTATCGTGAGTCTCTGTCAGGGCAGAATCAGTTGCCACAAGCTGCCTTTTTAGATCTTCTGCCTACAACATCAAATATTAATAACACTATCATTACAACAGCATAACAAATGCAATATATTACCTATATAATTTTCTTTAAAATAAATGGTTGTCAAGTGATACACAAAATACAGTTAAAATGTTACAAGAGCAATGCCAAGTTTAAACTCACTCACACATACAAGTTGTGCGATTTGTTACATGGAATTTCATAAAAGTATCATACTAGGTGTAACATATTCATCCTCCCCTTGCGGTCAGCAGCCGTGCATCTGCATGACTAACCCTTGCGTCTTGCCGCTGCGGATGCACGGCTAATTATACTCCCGCGTTTGCTCATGTGATTGATGACGTCAGCGTGCACGTGATGCCACCGCCGCGTGCGCATTTTTTGGGGTCAAAGAACGATCTTGGTCAATCAGAAAGGTATTTAAACCTAAAATTACCTTTCCTCATTGCCCTGTTGTGGTTTCCCTAGTGGTTGTCCAAGAGTGCATTCCTGATTCAAGTTTCTTCTGGTTTTTGACTTTGGCATTGATTTTGACTTCCCTGTATTCTGGTATGCATGACCTATGGCTTTCCTTTATCGTGGTGTCCCTTTCTGTGTCCCCTGACCTCGGCTAGTATCCTGATTATTCTTTGGTACGTTAGTCCGGCCATTCTAAGGCCCGGTAATACGTTACCTATTAGTCATCTGTGTGACACAATACTACGTGCTGGATCATATAGTAATCCTGACACTAGGATGTTAATTTAATATATTATCCAGTGTATACGTATGTGAACACATTAGGCTTTAGAGTTAGGCATCTAGCATGTTTTGTATCACGTAACTTACTGATATTGTTTCAAATATAATTATTCGTGCTAAAATGGCCAATTACTGTATAAAATGTCAAATTTGAAAAAATAATATATGATTTTAACATTCTCTAGCTTGTGTAAAGTAATGATATTCTGTGGTTTATTTAAGGATATGATCTGCACAATGCAGCTGGAAAGGGATTGGCATCTTATATTTTTCTGCTGACTATATAACATTTTAAAGAATGAGTGCGTAACTACAGTGCTTACAGAGTAAAATTTATTATAATCGGCCTAGTCAAGTTGACAGAAGACAAGCGCTGCTTCCTCTTGTTAAAAGTGTAGGATAAAGGGGAAAAAATTTAAAAGTAGAAGGTGCAAATGATCATGCAGGGCACAAAGGTGCTACCCAATTTAAATGAAGGACCAAACTGAAGTATAAAACCCATAACCAAAAAAACAAATACAACTTGGTGTAGTGCTTGCTTAGGTTGTCTAGAGTCTTTGAGAGACATCATCCCTATTTGGTGTAAAACCACTGAAAAGTGCTTTGAAAAAAAACCAAGAGCATTTCAAGATCCACAAGATTCTAATGTGGAATAAATCCTTTCAGATTACCACAGTAAATGTTATCCAGTCTGGACTGTGGTAATTGGCTGACAGTACAGGGGGTGGGTTAGGCAACCCCTCTCAGCCCATTAGTGCTGTCCAGGATGAATTGAACGCTGCCTAGGTGTTCTCTTTGACTCCGACCTCTCCTTCAAGCCTCATGTTCAATCTATCGCCAAATCCTGTCATTTCCATCTCAAAAACATTGCGCGCATCCGCCCCTACTTAACGCCAGATGCGACTAAGGTGTTGGTCCATTCCACTGTCCTTTCTCGGCTTGACTACTGTAATCCACTTCTCAGTGGTCGTACGTGCTCCCAACTTGCGCCGTTACAGTCCATAATGAATGCAGCGTCGAGGCTCAACTTCCTGTCCGCCCGCACCTCCCATGCCTCACATTTCTGTCAGTCCCTACATTGGCTTCCTATAAAATAATAGAGCTCAATTTAAAATTCTGGTTCTTGCTTTCAAATCTCTACATAATGCTGCTCCCACCTATCTATCCTCCCTTATACACAAGTATGTCCCGTCTAGGCCCTTACGATCTGCTGAAGACTTACGTCTATCTTCTGTCCGTACTCCCACCTCTGATGCTCGCCTTCAAGATTTCTCGAGGGCTGCACTGTTCCTGTGGAACTCGCTTCCCTCTTCTGTTAGATGCTCACCCAGTCTCCACTCCTTCAAAAAATCGTGAAAAACCCACTTCTTCATAAAAGCGTATCAATTAAACTGTTAATAGCTCCTGACTGATTCCTCTTCTGCAACTGTCACTAGTCTAATACTATCCTTACCTTTTTGTGTCATTTTACCCCACTCCCTCTAGCATGTAAGCTCATTGAGCAGGGCCCTCAACCCCTCTGTTCCTGTGTGTCCAACTTGTCTGGTTACAACTACATGTCTGTTCGTCCACCCATTGTAAAGCGCTGTGGAATTTGACGGCGCTCTATAAATATCATAATAATAATAAATTGCACAAGTATTTAATAGACACTATAGTCACCAAAACAACTTTAGCTTAATGAAACAGTTTTGGTAAATAGATCATGCCCCTGAAGTCTACCTGCTCAATTATCTTCCATATAGGAGTTCATCAGTGGTCCCCAACCCAGTCCTCATGGACCACCAACAGTCCAGGATTTATGTACTTCCTTTTTTATTCAAATGGAAATACTGACAAAACCTGGGCTCTTGGTTGTCCATGAGGACTGTGTTGGGGACCACTGAGTTAAATTACTTTGTTTATGCAGACCGAGCCACACATCTCTGCATGTGACTTCCTTAACACTTCCTGTAAACAGTCATCTAATGTTTACATGTCCTTTATTTCAAATTCTGTTTAATTTAGAATGTATTATCTCCTGCTCTGTTAATAGCTTGCTAGACCCTGCAGGAGTTTCCTGTATGTAATTCAAGTTCAATTTACAGAGCAGGAGATAAAAACTTTGAAAGTAAGTTACATCTCATTGAAAATGAAACAATTTTGTTTCCATGCAGGCTGTGTCAGTAACAGCCAGGGGAGGTGTGACTAGGGCTGCATAAACAGAGACAAAAAAAGTGATTTAACTAATTTTTCTAAATGGCAGCAAATTGAGCAGTGAGACTGCATAGGGCATGATCTATACACACAAAAACTGCTTTGTTAAGTTAAAGGTGTTTTGGTGACTATAGAGTCCACTTAAATTAAAAAAAAGAAGGAAATTTAAAGCACTAACTAAAAGAGCGTAAGAAAATATCATTCTAGATTCAAAAAGTCACCAGAATACATTCTATAATTATATATATATATATATATATATATAATTATAGAATGTATTCTGGTGACTTTTTGAATATATATATATATATATATATATATATATATACACACACACACACACACACACATATATATATATATATACATACATACATATATACACACACACATATATACAGTGGGACTTTGGTTTACGAATTTAATGCGTTCTCCGGGACATTTCTTATTGCAAAAAATGTGTAAACCGAAACGCGGTTTCCCATAGGAATGCATTGAAAACCAATTAATCCATTCTCAGAAAAAAGTCAAAACGAGCTGGCACGGAAACCAACCCACAATGCAGAACACACAATAAAAGGCATGCAAACGATGAAGCTCAGCTCCCTACCTTTCCAAAGCTTGAGAAATGCACCAAAAAGTCCCAAAACAACTGCAAACAATTTCCAGAATGGCTCCAAAACTCGATGCAAAAGCCGCTCCAACACCTCCACACTCGACGCCACTTGCTACCCACAGGCTCCAGTATGCAGGGGGCGGTGCTATAAACCTCCCAGGTGCAATGCATCCTGGGGAAACTTGCTTTGTATTGCGAAAAAAATTTGTAAACCGAGGCATTATTTTCAATGGATTTTCATTTGTAAACTGAAAATTATGTTAACCGAGGCGTTTGTAAAGCGAGGTCCCACTGTGTATTTTTATATATATATAAAAATACTTTTGTAAAATAGAAATGTATATGTAAAAGTGAAGTCTCATTATGCCATACCTTGTTCTTGTTGCACTGTAGCTCTGAATGTAACTGGGACACTGTTAATTCCAAATGGGCAATTCTCTCCTCATACAGCACACATTGGCCTTTTACCTGTTCTCTTAAAGAAAAACAAAAGTTGCAATTTAATTCTGCTGCTAACTTTAAAAAAAAATGTGTTCATGCATTTTGGCTTTTTATTGAAATGTATATAACTTAAGACTGAACTGCTGTGACATTAACATTTCTTAAAGGAATAGATTCATAAGTTAGGTTTTCCAAAGTCTCCTAAAAGGTTTTAAAATGAACCCATTCCCTGGCCACATCCCACAAATGTGTTAACATCAGCATGAATTGTTGGGAGGAATGTTCTTGCTTCATGCATGCAGACAAATGTACACAGTCAATTCCACTTGTACCATCCATATACAACTTTTTTTTTTAAAATGTTCTCTCTTTATTTGAAAAGATATATGTGTGCAATCAAAACCGCCATATGAAATGACAGAGTACATTGGGTCAATAAGACAGTTAAAGGCTGTACACATAAGACTGCAAGTTTGGAGGCCTGAACACAATGTGTATGCAGGTTTATTTCAAAATGAGGAGCGTGCGTCTCGAATTTCTGATACGTTAGATATTTGTTTAATCAAGAAGCCAGTGTAAACAGCTAAACAGAGGAGCACTTAGGAAGACATCGATACACAGTGCTTTTATACAGAACATGGGCAATGATTTGTTTTTTTACTTGAATATAGCAATGGACAATAGGAAAATCGGTAGGTGAGATGAAAAACAATTTTATTTACAGACAGAAGAATAATTATACTTATGTCTCTTTTTAAAAGAAATTGATTCAGGAAAGAAATTAATTCTTATGATTCGAGCAAACTCGTATAGAATACAGAAATAAAACGTATTAAGCCATTACATTACACCCACCAACCAATCATTTTTCAACACAGTCTACAAATTATCTATAAATAATCATAAATGCAAATATAAATCATGCACATTGAACATTCCTATCTTTCACTTCTACTCCAGATAAGTATACCACTTAATAGGTTCCTTGAGAAATGCAAAGCATTTGGCATATTTTGTAGTATACTGTACAGCTCATGAATGTACTTGAATTGTTTTGCTTTGTTCCAAGAAAAAACATGTGAAGCCTTGTGGATATGAAGTAAATGGCATACCAACATCAAAATGTCAAAATCTGTATCCAAATTTTAGCACTACAGAATGATTGGTGCAGTGTTTGGGTGTTCTTTGCTGCATGATAGCATGGGCAACTCTCTATCATCAATTTAAAAAAAAATTTATTCCCAGGTTTATCAATATATTTTACAGGAGAATGAAAAGCCATCTATCCACCACTTTAACATTTAAATACACATAAAATACAACATTTAGATGATGCCACAGGACTATGATATAACGCACATAAGTAAATAGAACAAAACAGAATGGCTTCAACAGAAGAAAATACACCTTCTGGAGTTAACCATTCAGAATAAATCGCCTGAACTGGATTGAAATGCTGTAAAAGAAATTCACACTGCATATGCCAAGAATAATGTGGAACATAAACTGTAAAGAGGAATGGTCCAAATTTACTCCTGGTTATTGTGTGGGTCTGACCCACATCTATAGGAAATATATACTTAATGTTATTGGTGCCAAGGAAGGGTCAAGCAGTTATTAAATCCAAAGTATCACACACTTTTTAAAGTCTGCGCTAAAAATGTTTACATGGCATGTTTGTAAAACACATTAAAGGATCACTATAGGGTCAGGAACACAAACATGTATTCCTGACCCTATAGTGTTAACACCACCATCTAGCCCCCCTGGGCCCCTCATGCCTCCATACAAATAGTAAAAATCTTACTGTATTCAACTCTGAAGCTGTAAATCTGCATGCTGTTAGACTCAGAAAAACAAGCAGTCTGCTGACATGTGGTAACCTGATCCAATCACAGTGCTTCCCCATAGGATTGGATAGGATTGGCTGAGACTGACAAAGAGGCAGATCAGGGGCAGAGCCAGCATGATTCAAACACAGCACTGGCCAATCAGCATCTCCTCATAGAGATAAATTGAATCAATGGATCTCTATGAGGAAAGTTCAGTGTCTGCATGCAGAGGGAGGAGATACTGAATCACAGGATGCTGTGCACAGTGCTGCCCTGTGCTCTGCTGACAGCAGATCTGAGTGGATGGAGGTATATTATGCCTCCATCAACTCCGAAGTCCCTCTGGTTCACTCCGAGTGACTGCAACTGGAGGTGTTCCTAGCTTTCAATGTAAACACTGTATTTTCTCTGAAAATACAGTGTTTACATGAGAAAGGCTGCAGGGAGCTATAGTTCTCACCAGAACAACCTCATTAAGCTGAAGTTGTTCAGGTGACTATAGTGTCCCTTTAAAACAGATTAGTAAATCATACAACAAAATTACAACCAGACTTGAATGTAATGATTCAGTTCCCAAAAAATAGATATATGGAATGTAGATATGAAGATTAATATATTGTGTGAGACATGATTAGTTGTTAGGCATTTCTTTTCGGTTTGCTTTATACAAGTTTGCACGAATAGAATGACTTGTTTTTTGCTGCAGTGAAAGCTTATCAGAATTACATAGTTACATAGCTGAAAAGAGACTTGCGTCCATCAAGTTCAGCCTTCCTCACATTTGTTTTTTGCTGTTGATCCAAAAGAAGGCAAAAAAATATAAAAATAAAAAAACAGGTTGAAGCACTTCCAATTTTGCTACAAACTAGGAAAAAAAAAATTCTTCTTGACCCCAGAATGGCAGTCAGATTTATCCTTGGATTAAGAAGCTATTACCCTACATGAAAAAATAATTTCCTTGAATATTCTGTTTTTGCAAATATGCATCTAGTTGCTGTTTGAACATCTGTATTGACTCTGATAAAACCATTTCTTCAGGCAGAGAATTCCACATCCTTATTGTTCTTACAGTAAAAAAAAACCTTTCCTTTGCCTTGGACGAAATCTTCTTTCTTCCAGTCTAAATGCATGACCTGGTGTCCTATGTAAAGTCCGGTTTGTGAATAGATTTCCACACAATAGTTTGTATTGGCCGCAGATATATTTGTATTATGTTATCATATCCCCTCTGAGGCAACGTTTTTCTAAACTAAAGAGGTTTTAATTTGTTAACCTTTCTTCATAGCTGATATGTTCCATTCCTTTTATTAATTTTGTAGCCCGCCTCGGCACTTTTTCTAGTGCCATAATATCCTTCTTTAGAACAGGTGCCCAAAAATTGCACAGCATATTCAAGATGTGGTCTAACCAGTGATTTATAAAGATGCAAATGATATTCTCATCCCGAGAATGAATGCCATTTTTCATGAATGACAATAACTTACTGGCCTTAGCTACTGCTGATTGACATTGCACATAGTTTGTTGTCTATAACAATTCCCAAGTCCTTTTCGTGTTGTTATCCCTAATTCGCTTCTATTAAGGGTATACGTTGCTTGTACATTCTTTATGCTGAAGTGCACCGAAGAATAAGGTCTTCGTGCTTAGAAAACAGCAACTAAGCTTTAAAGTAAACCTGTAATCACATTTTTAATTTACCTTAAATGTACACTGTAAGCACCAAAACAACTTTAGCTTAATGAAGCAGTATCAGTGTATAGATAACCAGCAGCCTAGCTCCTCAATTCTCTGCTATTTTATTTGAGTTTAATCACTTTGTTTATGCAGCCACACCTCCCCGCATGTGACCTACACAGTCTCTCTTTAATTTCCTATGAAGAGAGATCTAATGTTTAAACTTCCTTTATTGCATATTCTGTTTAATTTAGAATTTCCTATCACCTCCTCTGTTAATATCCTGCTAGACTCTGTAGGAGCCTTCTGTGTGTTATTAAAGTTCAATTAACAGAGCATAATATATAAACTTCTAAAGTAAATAAACTGTGCGGTCACATCTGATTATAAAATAAAACCATTTTACATGCAGGCTGTGTGAGTCTCAGCCAGGGGAGGTGTGGCTAGAACTGCACAAACAGGAACAAAAGTTATTTAACTCCTAAATGGCAGAGAATTGTGCAGTGAGACTGCAGGGGCATTATCTGTAAACAAAACCTATTTCAGTAAGATAGTGTTGTTTGGTGTTTAGAGTATCCCTTTAAATTAGTTCCTAATACATTGAATACATCACGTATCATATAGAATATAATGCATTCAATGTAACATATTGAGATATACTCGTCTCACCACTGTTCCAACACTTCTGAGCTTCATGGGTGTTGTTCTTCGTTTAACACCCACCTTTGGTCCACCTGTGCTTCTCTCACAGTCCTCTGTGATTTGCGTTGCTTGGGGACACTTCGCCAAGCAGGGCAAACCTCCTGTGTGACTCTGACATGCTGGCTTAGTTGCCAACATCTGAGCAGAGTGAATTTAGTCTCTCCGTTCCTATTCGCCCCAGCCAGCGCTAGCAGCAACAACATGCTCTGCGGTTGCTATGTGTGGAGAGCAAAACAATTGCTTAGTAAGTTTTACGGCATAGAGTCTATGATGAGGAATTAACAGACATGTGGGAAAAAGACCTATATTTACATATGTTATTCTCCCAATCTATACATTTGCAAGCAAATCTGCTAGCTCGATATATAGATGAAATGTGATGTTCTTTCAAAGAATGTTGTTATACATTATTTTTACATATTATGATTTAATTAATGATGATGCCATCTCAACTTACTGGAAAGTTTCCATTTGACTGTTGACATTCTTGACTTCTCTCAAGGCATTGCTTGCTTCTTGAGTAAGGGCTGCCACCTGCTGTTCTTGTTCATTAACAGCAATGTCAAACCTATTAAACACATGGTACAAAAATCAGATTGCACAATGATAAGAAGAAAATACACACACCTTAGATAATGTTACAATTTTGAGGTTCTAAAATATTTAGTGTTAACAGAAAAAAAAAATAGAAAAAATAAAAGACTAATCCAACCACTACACTCATATAAAAAAAGATAATGAACTAAAATGTAATATGAATAGTAAACAAAAAATACTGTTATTAACAAGCTATAACACATAAACAGAATTCCAGCTTTTTCCTAATTGCAACATGCACTATTTCTATATATTTAAAAGATTACATAAAAACCAGACGATCGTTTCAGCCTTGTTAGGCATCATCAGTGAGGCACAGTTGATATCTCTGTAGGCACCATGAGCAAGGGGTCCAAGTCTGGATTACCCTTTAAACTTATGGAGTGCAAAAAACGGGGCGCAAGAGAATACTGAGAACAGGTAGCAGCTGAAATAGCCTGCCCTTCTCTTGATCCCCGTTTTTTGCTCTCCACAAGTTTAAAGGGTAATCCAGACGTGGACCCCTTGCTCACGGTGCCTAGAGAGATATCAGCTATGCCTCACCAATGATGCCTAACAAGGCTGAAATGATCGTCTGGGGTTGCTGTATCTCTCGTGCAGAGGGAACTTGCTGGCATTTTGGATCTGGACTGCCCGTATGGGTGGGACCAGTCTGATATGCTTCAGAAATGTTCTCTCTGTAATGGCACAAGATGAGCTAAAACCAGCTTGAGATCTGAGCGGGGACCTACCGAAGGGCAGGCTATTTCAGCTGCTGCCTGTTCTCAGTATTCTCTTGCGCCCCGTTTTTTGCTCTCAATATATTTCTATACATACTACACCAGATTGCTTTCTACCGTGTCACTTTTTGTTTCCCTATAATGAGGAAGAAAGTCACACTTATTTAAAGGGGGAAGTGCCACCAGACGGCACACAAGTGGAAGAGATTTGAGCCTATCCTATTCAGGGCTCTTAAGCACGTGAGTGGACAATTCTTAAGATTATTTCCTGATTAAAAAAACAGCTATACGGATTTACACTATTATTTTCTCTTTATTTGTTTCCTCTATGTATATATTGATCTGAATTGGATGTAACACACGAGTTACCGTAAAGATAAGACCAGATAACCCATATATAGGGTAGGTGTCCAATCCATTTGCTAAACGCTCCACTCCTGAGGTGAATTGCTTTTGGCCATTTTCCCTTTTTTCTTTGGCATTTCAAGACATTGTTGGAGAGTATTATTAAAGTCTCACTAAGACAAAAATAGGGCAAATTCCTTAAGTGAGAGCATTTTCCATGGAGACCAATGGAAAGAATGTCTCTGCTGATCTCAAGGATGCCTATAGATGACTCAACTTTTAGAACACTTTTCTGTTTGGGATACTTTAAAAAGTCTCCCCTGATACATTTCAGGACTTACAGAATATAGCTATCAAACCATAAAACATTTCCACTTTAGTAACCAGGTACCATACATCATTACAGAATGGAAATTGAAAAAGGCTCGTTCGTGGGTCCTCAAATTTATAAACATAAAACAGAGCTTGGGCTCATTCACACTATGATCCTGCTGTATAAAATAGCAAGTTTACTGTGTTTTAGGCAGTGACACAAATAACACCTACCGTACCTTTCTTTATAAAGTGCTAAAAGAGCTTCTTTGTCTTTTAACTCAGTCTTTAATGAATTAAGCTGATCTTCTGCCTATTATGTTGGAGAGAAAATGGATTATGAATCAAATTGTTGGCTATTGTACTGCTGCTATTAGAGTACTTAGCAAACATCAAAATAATAGAATACATAAACACACCACATATTGCTAAGAAAGCATGAGAGCGACAGATTAAAAAGCAGTGAAATTACAAACCAAAAACATATATGGACACACAGAACAATTTTATTCATTTTTAAGAATATACCTCAGTCTCAAGTTCGTGTAGTACTTTTTTCACAGTTGTGGCTAAACTGCTAATGTGATGGCTAGGAGCACAACCTTGTTCAAACACATGCTTTCCTGACCGCTCTTCATAACTCAAGAGGACTTGCCCAATTTCCTGAAGAACCTCAACATGCTCCTGGATTGTCTCTCTTAGAAGTGCATTGCAAACATTTGACTTTTTTAACATCTCATTCTGCAGGTGGCTGGCTTTTTGTAGCTCCTGAATGGTTTCATGAAGTTGGTTATTTCTGTCTTCCAGAGCCTTTGACTCTTGAAAACTGGGATCACAAAAAAATATGAGAAAAAATATTTTACACAATGTAAAAATGCTGAAATAAATTGTTCAGTAACACTGTATGGACACTGTCTGGATTTACAGATATGTATAGACAAGATCTCACTTGGAGACATAAGACACATGGATGAGGAAGGTTGCAATACAGGAAAGTATGAAAAGGTAGGAGTATGATTTAATGTAACAGCACACAAGCAAAAGAGCATGTGGTTTCATTGATAATTCCTATACAGAATTTAAAAACTCCTTAAGCTCTTACTCCAATAAATTCTACTTAAATGTTTGCAAGGTGGGGAGAGAGGTGGGGTAGATATAAAACAGATTTAGCTCTGCAGCACTTTTTGGTGTGAGAGAATATTGCCTTATGACCCACTTAATGCTCTCATGCACCCTTGGTATATGTATTCAATGTGCAATACAGGCGCATGTGGAGTTGCTCATTCCTTCCTTTGTGATGTATGGATGCTTTATTCCATACTCTTTATATCCTCTCTAGCTTAAAACTCCAAATCGCTCTCCATTTTTATTTTTCTCCTCAGCATCCCAGACCACTGCCTAATCACTATCTTCCAGCCCAAAACCTTGCATAGCACCTCAAATCCTGGCAAACAATAGCACCCTCAATGCGCTAGTTTTCAAAAGGGTGTAAACAGACCTACGGTCATGTCAACAGCCAGCACACTTTATAGAACAAAATAAACAAATGGATGTGCACTCCCTGTAAATGTCAAGTTCCCTTTACTGTGCTCTCATATAACAATGTTTTGACCCTATAAAATTGTGAAAGACCACAATAAGGTGGAACTTGAAATTTACAAAGATTGCCAGTCTGTTTAATTTTGTAACACAATAGCAATAATCTTACCTCGTGCCTCTCCACACACACACAATGCCACCATAATCTACTTTGGTCCAATCATAAGGCAGGAATTTCTGTGATTCTATTCTCACATCCTGCCCACTTGACTGTAATTTCTAACACCATTTTTACATCCTTCTATTCTGTCTTAAAACAAACTTTAACACTTATCTTGTAGACAGCCACTAAAGACCGTCTTAAACCTTCAATATAAACATTGTAGCTTCTCTGAAATTTTAATGTTTTACACTGCAGGGCTAAGGGGACCTATATCCAGAATATTACAGTGAGATGAAGTGTCCTGAGGTGCCTATAGTGTCCCTTTAAGGTTTCTTCTATGTTGAGAAGGGTTAGGCTGAGGATGTTGGGTGAGGGGGATATTAAGAACAAAATACAAGAGCTGGTGGCCTGAAAGAAGAAATAGAGTGCTAGAGCGATGCAAGACTGAGCTTTCATCTGAAAATAGGTCAGTGAATTTGCCAGTGAATTTGCCAGTAACACGTATGGGAGATGTAGCCTTTAGGGACGTTGAAGTCCCCAAGAATTAGGGGTGGAAAATTAGATCAAAGGGACACTATAGTCACCAGAACAACTACAGCTTATTGAATTTGTTCTGGTGAGTAGAATCATTCCCTTCAGGCTTTTTTCTGTAAACACTGTCTTTTCAAAAAAAAATGCAGTGTTTACATTACAGCCTAGTGATAACTTCACTGGCCACTCCTCAGATAGCTGTTAGAGATCCTTCCTGGGTCATGGCTGTCTAAAATCCATCCAAACATTCAATGTCTCCTCCCACTGCATGCAGACACTGAACTTTCCTCATAGAGATTCATTGATTCAATTCATCTCTATGAGGAGATGCTGATTGGCCAGGGCTGTGTTTGAATCATGCTGGCTCTGCCCCTGATCTGCCTCTTTGTTAGTCTCTGCCAATCCAATGGGGAAGCATTGTGATTGGATCAGGCCACCACTTCTAATGATGTCAGCAGAGTCTAACAGCATGCAGAGTTACAGCTTCAGGCTTGAATACAGTAAGAGTTTTACTATATTTATGGAGGCATGAGGGGCCCAGGGGGGCTAGATGGTGGTATTAACACTATAGGGTCAGGAATACATGTTTGTGTTCCTGACCCTATAGTGATCCTTTAAAGTCAGGAAGCCAAGCAACACAATATGCTAGGAAGAAGAGAGGGGAACATTAACGAACTGCAACATGAGATGTGGAGTGAAAAGTAGTTTGAAGGAGCAGGATGTGGAAACAGAAACAGTACTCCTTTACCTTTACCATCAGTTTATTGAATTGAAGAAGAACAAAGGATAAACAGGTAGAGGGTGCAGTATCACAGGGAGAGAGCCAAGATACAGTTAGTACCAGTATGTTTAGGGCATGTGAGATGAATAAAGCAATTGATTGTGTGATGTTGCACACAGAGCGTGAATTCCACGGGGCACTGTGAAAAGAGGACATAGCGGGAGAGGTACATGGGATGGGTGTAAGAAATTATGAGAGGAGGAACAAGGGGTTTTGGAGACATCTCCAGCTACCAAGCACAGAAGGATGGAAAGAAGAAGAATATAGGAGTAAGATTTAAAGGTATGGGGTAAGTGCTGATGTTTGGAGGCTTTAGAAAGAGTAGGCAGAGAAAAGGAGGACACATGTGAGATGTTGACTAAAGAGGAAAGTAAAGATGGGGTAATAAGGATGGTGTCAGCAGGACGACGTAAGCAAAAAGACAGATTTTAGCAACTAGAGAAGTGATCTTAATTGATTTTCAAAAATTCAGAATGTAAGGTATCATGACATGCAATCCTCATTTGTGCAAATCATAACATCTATTCCTAATCACATCTTTATATGCAATGTCAATTTATATTGAACAAAACATCTTAACCGATGCAATAGTTTTTACCTCTTGAAAAGCACGGCATCTCGTTCCATCTCTAAACTTTGAATTCTCACATTCAGTTCTTCTGTGATCTTTATTTCCTGCTGGTTTTGAAACCCAGTCATGTTCCTGCTCTAAGGGACAGATAAAACATTAGCATACTTAGTTATATGGAACATACAAGGTGGGATATAGGTTCTACAGTAGGAAGAAAAAACAAACATCATAGTGTACTATCTTAGATAGATATTGATAGTGGTGTTCAAAGTTGCACTCACAATAAAAAGGTTGATTGAAGGCATATCAATATTTAGGTTGACTAGCGATCTTCCCCACATATAAGGGCATATAGGAGAGAAAGAAATGCAGTAATAAATGCAGACTGTTATTCACCTGGTGAAGCACTAGATAAGGGAACACTTACAGAATTGCAGAGGTGTATGAGCATATCATATCACAGGTGCCCAGGAATTCGGAGAGAGTCCGCCAGAGTATTCAAGTACAAATAAGCAAAAAATCCTATTGACTTGAAGAATTTATTGAGTATAACAGATTAAAACAAAACATAAATAAAAACAAAATCAAAATACTCTCCTATAAAATCCCAACCCATTTTGGTTTTGTTTTAATCTGTTATACTCAATAAATTCTTCAGATCGCTAGTCAACCTAAATATTGATGTGCCTTCAATCAACCTTTTTATTGTGAGTGCAACTTTGAACACCACTATCAATATTTATCTAACATAGTACACTATGATGTTTGTTTTTTCTTCCTACTGTAGAACCTATATATGTTTTGAGAGGACTGGAAGGAGTCCTTTTTGTTCTGATTCTACAGAGTGAGGTATAAATTTGTATAGGTGAAGTGTGTTGTGTTTCACCTCCTCACTTTATGTCTTTCCACCTGTGATTGTTAAGGGTGTTTTCTATTGTATTATAACATACAAGGTGGCCCTGGTTTTATTACATTGTTTATTACATTTATATATTTGTTTAATACTATTTAAGCACATAAGTGCTAGAAATGTCTTCCATCAACATTGCAACATTCCTCATCAACATCCCTTTCCAACTGCTACACTTTAAAAAAAAATATATTTATATGCCTGGAATTTAACTGGCACTTTGTTGTATGTACGTGTACCCATATAATCTGTTGTGATGAATTTCATTAGCTCGACAGTACACCTATTTTTGGGCCACCCCGCATATCAGTTGATGTGCTTGTTCGGTTCATAATGGTAATTCTCTAGATTTAAAAAATGGCTTAAACAAGAATTAGGATGTTTAGCACAATCATGCATAGATCATAATAGATATCTATATTTGAAAGAAGAAAAACTTCCACAACAAGAGTACATGGTCTTAAATTAGGGGCACATGTTTAAAAATAATTTTAGGGAGTATTACTTTACTGCATGGAATGCATGCATGGAATAGTAAAAACCAAGTTACCTGCGCTCTCTCCTTAATCGCTATGTATTTTTAAACAAATGGAGTTATTTTAGTTACCTCCAATGGCCATGAGAGGATAAGCCCATCTGCTAACGTCAAGGCAAACCCCCCCCAGCTGAAGTGGTAGAGGGTAACACAGCCTTCCAGCTGAAGTGGTAGAGGGTAACACAGTGAAGGAGTTTAAGCATGCGTGGGATAGATATAAGGGTATCCTAGCTATAAGATAAGGCCAGGGACTAATGAAAGTATTTAGAATATTGGGCATTCTAGATGGGTCAAATATAGTTCTTATCTGTCGTCACATTCTATGTTTCTATACAAAAGAACCCATGATCTAATACACATACTTAAATTCTGAAAGCGATATTTTATTAAATATAAAATATTTGTATTTTACCAAGGTAATTATTATTGACTACATGTATATTCTGTTATCTATTGGAGAGCAATTTTTCTCTAAAGACATCAGGTTTTTTTTTAAAAGTTGGGTTCTAGAACATGGGGCAGGAACCAGTGGGCTATACAAATAAGTAGGAGAGTCTACCAATTCTTTGGAAACAATAATGTGCTGCAAAAATAAATAATCAAATGCACTGAAACACCCACATTTCATTAAAAAAAAAAATGCAGACCTGATAAGATTGTTCTGGTAGATCTTTGATTATGTACTCTTTCATTGACTTCCAAAGAGGTGTCTTTACTTTGAAATCACTTCCACCCAGGTCACTTTCTAGTGGGTTGTATTGTGGCATGAGGCAGCTTTTATTGCAGGAACTTGGCAGATCAGCAGAGAAGGAGCGTTGTAATACTTGGTGATGGTGATAATGTAATGGAACAATTGCACTGTTGTCCACGACTGTCCTTGTAACGTTTTCTGTTAAAAAAGCAACAAAAAGAATAGCATAAATGTAAGGACGTATTAGAGCAAATAATAAAAAAGTATAACATATCTGTGAAAATTGTTATATATTAAATGTACTTAATGACCTTAGTTTACAAGTCAGATGAAAAAAAAGAAAGAAAAAAGAAATAAGTGCTTGGCCGCTGGGAGTTTAACTCGTCTTTTACACTTTCACATTTGTAAAAGCAAAGAGAAAATGCGTTTCTCTGTCATTTTCTTTGTGTAGTGTGCTAGAGAGGCTGCAAAAATAAAAAGTAATAAAATCACATTGAGAAATAAAAATCAAGTACCTGGCATTAAGGAGAACTGATGAGAGGCAGTTGGTATCGGGTGGTGACCATGATAAGATGATGGTAAAGAACTTAGTGCATGCTGTGTGGCTTGTTCTACTTCCTTTTGTAGGTTTTGGATATCTCTTGTTTGTCCTTCTAGCTGATCCCTGTGGAAATCAGTCAAAATATGTATTGGTTAGTGACATTTTTAGGCAAGTATATTTCATCAGACATTTCCCAGCATGGAATATTATGGAATTGTATTTACTCTTACTGCCAGCACACATTCAAGAAATCTGAATGTGAAGATACATTTGTGTCATAGTGACATGGATCATTTTCATTCTTGGTCAGATTGGTAGTTGAAGAGTTCAGGTTGCTGTGGAATAAACTGTGGAGGTCAGTACTGATAGGCCTTGCTCATATAGCATGACACCTACACTTGGGTACAATTTCCCATACCATCTGCAAGTCCAATTGTAAGATATTCTCTTTCCAGTAAAAAAAAAAAAAAAACAAACAAAAAAAACATGAACAGACAGAGTAATGTGTGATGACGTGGAAAAGCTGAACCCACAGCCAGTCATACTACATAATAACTTTACTTTAAAAATAGAGGCAAAATTATGATTTTTTTTATGAGCATATGGGATATACATAATCTGGTGTGTATGTGTGTACATAAAACAACATGTCATTGTCTTCTTTGTGACCACTGGTACATTTTTTATATGCTACAAGAAAGTGTAAAAATATTAATTAAAATTATCTCATGTTCTTAAAAGGGACACCATAGTCACCTAAACAACTTCAGCTTAATGAGGTTGTTCAGGTGAGAATTATAGCTCCCTGCAGCCTTTCTCATGTAAACACTGTATTTTCTTAGAAAATACAGTGTTTACATTGAAAGCTAGAAACACCTCCAGTTGCAGTCACTCAGAGTGAACCAAAGGGACTTCGGAGTTGATGGAGGCACAATATGCCTCCATCCACTCAGATCTGCTGTCAACAGAGCACAGGGCAGCACTGTGCACAGCATCCTGTGATTCAGTATCTCCTCCCTCTGCATGCAGACACTGAACTTTTCTCATAGAGATTCATTGATTCAATTCATCTCTATGAGGAGATGCTGATTGGTCAGGGCTGTGTTTGAATCATGCTGGCTCTGCCACTGATCTGTCTCTTTGTCAGTCTCAGCCAATCCTATGGGAAGCACTGTGATTGTATTAGGCTACCACATGTCAGCAGACTGCTTGTTTTTCTGAGTCTAACAGCATGCAGATTTACAGCTTCAGGCTTGAATACAGTAAGATTTTTACAATATTTATGGAGGCATGAGGGGCCCACGGGGGCTAGATGGTGGTGTTAACACTATAGGGTCAGGAATACAGGTTTGTGTTCCTGACCCTATAGTGATCCTTTAACCTCTTAACGTCGTTACGGCGTTCTATGCCGTCCCGCATTAAATGGGCTTTAAAGCCGTTGCGGCGGCATAGAACGCCGTAACGGCTTTGAGCCCTGGAGCCGCTGGGATACTTACCTTCCCGGCGCTCCGCTTCAGGAGGACTTCCTGACAGCCAAGGCAGCCCTCCCATGCCAAATCAGGCCCCCGGGGGCCATGTGATCACTCTCAAAGAGCGATCACATGGCCCCCTATAGCCAGCTGTGGATCTGCCAGCAGGGGGACTGTCTGAAATGTCAGACAGTTCCCCTGCTGGTGGGAAGAATAATACCAAAATATTAACCATGTTTTAAAATCAATTAAAAGTGTATATATATATATATATATATATATATATATATATATATATATATATATATACACACACACACACACACACACATACACACACCTGTTATATATGTAACATCATACGTAATGTATTTTAATATAAATATAAGTACATATATTAGTATTAAAATACACTTAGACTCACGTTACACATTATATATATATAACACATATATTTTATATTTATATATACACGTATAATTACAAGAATAAATTAAAATAAAATATTTAAAAAATTTAAATAAATTATATATACATATGTCATTTCATTCTAACAGTATTTTGTTATTAATATATATGTAACAAAATACACTTAGAATGACAGTCTATATATATTACATAAATGATTACATAAGTATACACGTAGAATTTAAATACATAAATATGTGTATATATTAAAATTCTACGTGTATATTTAAGTAATCTTTTAGCATAATTATGTGATTTTATTAATTAAAATTTGATTGACATGCCTGACAATCCAGGCAGAAAGTGCAGAGAATTTAATTTGCAAGCACTATATTTAACCCTGTAACTTTCCAAGACACCATAAAACCTGTACACGGTGGGTACTGTTTTACTCAGAAGACTTCGCTGAACACAAATATTAGTGTTTCAAAATGATAAATTTTATTACAACGATGATATTTTCAGTAAAAGTTAAGTTTTTTGCATTTTTCATCCACGAACTGCACTTTTACTGACGATATTATTGTTGTAATAGGTTTTACTGTTTTGAAACACTTATATTTGTGTTCAGTGAAGTCTCCCAAGTACAACAGTACCCCCTATGTACAGGTTTTATGGTGTTTTGGAAAGTTAGAGAGTAAAAGCAAACAGTATAATGACATTTACAGCTAAAATGTCAGGCAGAAATACAATTTTATTTTTTAAATCTTAATTTCTCACAGTTTTTTCTATTTTATTCATAATAAGTTATGTTTCATATATGAATAGTTCATGAGAAATTAAAGCCCCGTTTCTCCTTAACAAACTGATGTATAATAAGTGTGGGTGCACTTAATATGAAAGAGGTGAATTACGGTTGAACAGACATATAGCGCAAATTCCAGTTTTTGTTTACATTTTGTTTTGATCACAACGTGTGCTATTGACTCCGTCCTAAAGGGGTTAATAAATATACAACAGGCTAACTCAGAAGCTGCTTTCCTATTTAATAAATATAAGATTCACAAGGACATTTTGAATAATATCTCACTTTCCCTTCTTATTAAATATGGCCATCAGGATTCACAAATAACCTGTAGCTTTGCTGTTCCTGTGACAAATCGGATATTGGAAAAAGTGTTTTAATGAGTATTAGATCCAGCCATGGATGTCCACTAAACAGTCAATTGTGGGGAATTCAATACTGGATTGCAATAATCAAGTTAAAATTGAAACGCTGCATCTATAGATGGAGATTTTTTTCCAAAGCAGTTACTTTGCCTTCTGTTTTGCAATTCCGTTTTTAGTGTATTACAATGCAGTGTTTATTGTAAAGATAGTTATACTATTGTTTAGAATTTCGGGAATACAATGAACAATAAATCACTAAATATTTTTTTTTTACACTGGTTTACTTTGACTGACCTTAATGTCTGAAGATTTTTGCCCGCCATCATCTTAGGATCACCTGGGGGACAAAAAAAGGGGGGGGGGGGGAAATGTCAGCACGTCCAATGATGGATCTCTGAAAGAATGGAAGTCTCCAACTGATTAAGAAGATTTGCTAATAACTAGCTGTATATGTTGTAAGAAAGTATGAAAAGTAAAATATTTACAGACACATCATAGTCAGTGGTGTACACACACGATCCATGGGGGCCGGTGCGAAAATTGATCCATGGGACCCCGGCGCTTACTCTGAGCAGCCGGGGCCGCTACAGATGGCGGTGGGCCCCTGGTCGCAGGGCTGCAACCCCTGCAACTTCGGTGTGCACGCCAGTGCATGCAGATACACATACACTTCAATTCTTAAAGGAACACTATAGTCACAGTTTGATGTAGTTGTTCTGGTGTCTAGAGCCTGTCCCTGCAGGCTTTTCAGTGTAAACACTACCTTTTCAGCGAAAAGGTAGTGTTTACATTGCTGCTTAGTAACACCTCTAGTGACAGTCACTCAGATGGCCACTAGTGAGTCCTGGTTCACTGCTGCACCACGTGCAGCACCCATGTTTCGTGTCTCCAAGCTCTGCATGGAGGCGCTGAAAGTTCCTCATAGAGATTGATTAATTTAATGCATCTCTATGAGGAGATGCAGATTGGCACATTTGCTGTGCTTGCACAAAATCCTCCCAATGCTTTCCTAAGGGAAAGCATTGGCTTAGCTGAAATCATAAAGATTGATATACTCAGTCATGGAGGTGGGACCAGCCATGGTGAAACAGGCACGATGTGGGGAAAAAAAGGTGAGTAAAAACATCTTCCTCATGCGATCTGAGGGGGCAGGTACCTAAATGCACACACACACACACACTGACACGCGCACAAACTCGGACAGGATCACACACATACACACTCACAGGCTCGCACACACAAACTCTGATAGACTTGTACATACATGCATGCCCACTCTGACAGGCTCACACACACATTCACATTTTGTTTTAATTGAAACCCACTCCCTGCCTTTGGGAGAGTTGAGTCATATTCTGGCTCCCGGCATTATTACACAGTGCTAGGGAGCAGAGAAGAGCTGCAGGAATATTACTGCTCCATCGCGTGCTGCCTCTGCCTGCTGACTCCCTAATCCCCAGGGCTGCCGCCTTCATGCTCCGAGCTGGCCATCTCCATCCTCCCCAGGGCGGGTGGCTAAAGGCTGCCGGCTGGCCGCCTTCAAAACTACCTCGGCAACATTAAGAGCTGGCATTTCTCAGACGCCAGGGCAAAATTTCTAGTCGCCATGGCGACCCGGCACCGGGGATTTGTCTAGCCCTGATATAAACAGTTACTACTGGCACACATATATGGTCATAATTGCTAGATGTAAAAGAGAGCATTAATTGCCAATAACGTTTTTTGGGGGGGGGTTTGGCTTTGCATATGACAAGAATTTCCCGAATGTAATAGAGTAATCCAGATGTGGAGACCTTGTTCATTGTGAATAGGAGGCTCACTAACAAAGCCCAAAAGAAGTTCAAGATGAATGGCAAAGGTTGCTTCACCTAAAGTGCAGAAGGGATCTATTGGCATTTCGGGTCTAGACTGTCCTTGTTAAAGGGTTATAAAATGTGCTAGAGGCCGCAGCAGATACTAACTGAAAGGCAAGGTACCAAGGTTTTGTCCTTTCCATGCTTACCTTTTACAACCTGTTTTGGCTTACATATAAAAAATGGCAAATGCACTACAGCCATGCAATTTAAGTTATAGAAGACTTATTATGAATAGCACAAATGGAGAAACTGCACATTGCTCTCCTATAAAATCTATATAATTGGGTTAGGATCCACCAAACTGGGGTATTTTGACATACACTGATCAGCCACAATTTTAAAACCATCTGACTAATATGCATGGACTCCACAAGACGTCTAAACATCTCCTATGGTATCTGGTACCAAGACATTAGTTGCAAGTTGGGGCCTCCATGGATCAGATTTTTTGCTCCAGCACATCCCATAGATGCTTAATTGGATTTTAAAGACCAAGACAACACCGTGAACTGTCATGTTCCTCAAACCATTCCTGAACAATCTTTGCAGTGTGGCAGGATGCATTATCCTGCTGAAAGAGGCCACCGTCATATTGCCATGAAGCGGGATACGCGGACTGCAACAACCTCTAGGTAGGTGGTACATATCAAAGTGACATCCATAGTAGAACATTGCCCATAGCATATCACTGCTTCCACCGGCCTGACTTATTCCCATAATGCAATCTGCTGTCATCTCTTCCCCAGGTAAACGGCACACATGCACCTGGCCATCCACCTGATCTAACAGAAAATATGATTTATCCATTGGCAACCTTCTTCTCATTGAAGATGTGGACAGGGTCATAATGTGCATTCTGTAGTTACACAGCCCCACACTGCGTTTCTGACACCTTTCTATTATGGCCAGCATTACATTTTTTTAGCAATTTGAGCTACAGTGGCTCTTCTGTGCAAAAGGACTAGATGGGCTCTTCTTTCGCTCCCCACGTGCATCAATGAGGCTTGGACGCTCATGACCCTGTCGCCAGTTCACTAGTTGTCCTTACTTGCACCACTTTGGTAGGTACTATCCACTGCATACCGGGAACATCCCACAAGCAGGGCCGCCATCAGGGCATTACAACCATAACGGTTGTCATGGGCCCGGTGGTCCTGGGGGGCCCGAATTGCTCAGGTTGTCCCAGGCCCCACATTAGTTATGTGCACACATATATAGCGATTAACGCTATAGCGGGCCCCTGTATTCTGCAGGGGGCCCAGCACACTTGAAATATACAGCCCAGATGCTCTGCCGAAGTCTCGCGAGCGGCGCGAGCGGCAGAGCGTTGCCACGGGTAACCATGGCAACGCTCCGCACGGCTCGCGAGAGCTGCACCATGCCTCAGGACCTCTGGCTCCAGGTAATGTGATCTCCCCCCTCCATGGCCACAGGTGAGATTGAGGGAGGGGAGAATAAAACAAGACCATTAATGGAAGGGAAAAAAAATACTGTAGGCTTTTCCCCCTACATTTTGCAGCCCCATACATTTACACACACTATACACTGACATTTACACACACTATACACTAACATTTACACAAACTATACACTAACATTTACACACACACAATTCACCAACATTTATACAAACTATACACTATTCACTAAAATTTACACACACTACATCCTTACACAAACACACACTATGCAGTCACTACACACACTACTTCCTAACACAAACACACACACTTTGCAGTCACTACACACACTACACAAACACACAGTCTGCAGTCACTATACACACATTAAATACTTACACACACACACACACACACACTACATCCACCACACATACACATCGCATTTAATACACACAAACACTACATCCACTACACAAACACACACACTCTGCATTCACTATAAACACGCACTACATCCACTACACAAACATACACTCCGCATCTAATATACACCTCATACATTACACAAATGTACAATCTGCATCCACTATACACACTGCATCCGTTAAACACAAACTCTGCATCCACTACACACATTCTACATCCACTATACACACACCAGAATCAGTACAGACACTGCATCCCTGTGGGCGGACTCGGGGGGGGGAGGGGGCAGCACTTTGGGCGAACTCGGGTGCAGGCACTGGGAGGCCCAGACCTTGAGCTGTATCAGGGGCCCCAAAATGTCTGATGGCAGCCCTGCCCACAAGACTTGCCGTTTTAGAGATGCTCTGACCCAGATGTTTAGCCATCACTATTTGGCCTTTGTCAAAGCCACTCAGATATTTCACTTGCCCATTTTTCCTGCTTCAAACACATGAAATTCAAATACTGACTATTCACTTGCTGCCTGATAGAAATGTGAGATAGACTGAACTTGGTCTTTTTAGCTATGTAACTATGTAATATATCCCACCCCATGACAGGTGCGATTGTAACAATATAATCCATGTTATTCACTTTACCCTCAGTGTATTTAAAGGGACACTATAGTCACCAGAACAACTACAGCTTATTGAATTTGTTCTGGTGAGTAGAATCATTACCTTCAGGCTTTTTGCTTTAAACACTGTCTTTTCAGAGAACATGCAGTGATTACATTACAGCCTAGTGATAACTTCACTGGCCACTCCTCAGATAGCTGTTAGAGATCCTTCCTGGGTCATGGCTGCATAAAATGCATCCAAACATTCAGTGTCTCCTCCCTCTGCATGCAGACCCTGAACTTTCCTCATAGAGATACATTGATTCAATTCATCTATATGAGGAGACGCTGATTGGCCAGGGCTGTGTTTGAATCATGCTGGCTCTGCCCCTGATCTGCCTCCTTGTCAGTCTCAATCAATCCTATGGGGAAGCATTGTGATTGGATCAGGCTACCACATCTGCTGATGTAAGCAGGCAGTGGGCAGGTTTAAAGGAAACAGTGACAAAGTAAGTTGCTGCAGACTTTAATGCAAGTAAGATTTTATATATTTAGGGAGGCATGTGGGGACCAGGGTGGCTAGATGGTGGTTTTAACCCTATATGGTCAGGAATACATGTTTATGTTCCTGACCTTATAGTGCTCCTTTAACGTTGTGGCTGATCTGTATAGTGATGAGCTGTACATTTGCTCTGTATGAAAACTGTATTGTTATTTTGTGTTGTATGCATGCACACATATTTAGACGTTTCTGTAGCTCTCCAAATAATATAGGAACTTCAGCACTCCAGATGTGGTTGTCTGCATCTCCCCTGATGCTTTGCTAGCATTATGGCTGTAAGAGCATTAAAGGATATGTAGCCCACAACATCTGGAGTGCTGAAGCTTATTTGCCTTTTTTTTTTTTTTTTTTTAAATATATAAACACTGTTGAAATTCCTTGTTTGCCATAGATGTTGAATTGGTTAAAGGGATACTATAAGTGCTAGGAATACAAAGCTGTATTCCTGGCACTATAGTTCCCCCTGCCTCCCTCGCACCCCTACCCAGGTGAATAAAAGGTTAAAAACCCTTTATTTACTTACCTGATCCCAGCCCGATGTCCCTCAGTGCTGCATCGACGCTCTGCCCCTGGACAAGCGGGCGCTAATGTGCATGCGTAGCAAACACCACGCACGCATTAGACCTGCCTGTTGGAAAGCATTGAATCAATGCTTTCCTATGGAGAAAAATGTGACACTGGATGTCCAAATGCAGAGCGTGAGGAAATCTAGTGTCAGATACCAAAGGTCTGTTTCAATCCAGGAAGCCCCTCTGGGAGACAGCCACTGGAGGCAGACTTAGTGCAATGGGGACACTGCACACAGACCACTTCAATGAGCTGAAGTGATCTGGGTGCCTACAGCATCCCTTTAAGATGACCATATATATTTAAAAAGGTCTCCATAGGTCCTTATCATTTGATACCTGCAAACTACCAGTATTATGATTTTAATGGTTTATTGAGGCCAGTATTCCATTCCATTAACAAAAGGGAGCCATACCCACCAAGGGTGTCAATAAGTATCCACTAAAACAAAAGCTTTATGGCATCCAGATTAATAACAGAGTTAGCACCTAAAACCCCAAACAAGTGGATATTATTATTATTATGTTATCTAATGCTACCAGGTGGAAAAAAACACATTGTTACACACTCTGACCCCTCCCATCCCATCCCATCCATACAGACATAGTTACAGGTGCTGCATTTAATCCATTATAGAAACCGGGGTATATCAATATGTGCTCAGCCTGAGCGGTCTGTTTACTGATGACCTGACTGCTTACCCATCCGACCCCCACTTATAATACAGCACCGCCCCCTCCCCTATTAGCACCCCGATAGTTGCTGGTTTCCCTTATCATCCCCCTAGTCCAGCCTCACCTGCCCTGTCCCTCGTTTCTCTGGGCCCCCAGCTTACCTGCCCCTCTAGCCTGCGTGCTGGGAGCGCTGTGTTTGGTGGCGGGAGACACACGATATCCCCCTTTTTTCTACCGTTGGTGCGAGCAGGACGCCTGACAGTAACCATGGAGACGCCAGAAGCCGAGTATTTTGAAAAACCCCGCCCCCTGCACTATGCATGTCTCATGCTTTGTGTCTCTGGATAATTCCAATAGAACGCAGCGGGGTAAACTAAACTAAAGCTAAAGTTCTGTGTTCCTCCTCCAACTAACCTGGAGCCATGCCAGGCTCATCAATGGAGCTCTGTGTCACATGACACCTGCACTGATTTGCCTGATGGCTAGTGAGGAAAGATGCTGTTTGAACAATGGCTTGTGGGATAGGCGGAAATCCTTGAGACTTTCACCAGCTCCTTCAGTGTTTTAGGTGTCATGACTTATTTCTATATTGGTACATACAATAGAGTGTTCCCGCTGTTTAGCTCTCCTGACAGATTGCTTTATTAGCAGATATTATAGAGTACATCTCTGTACTACCTACTATGGTGCTGAATCCTGTTTAGGTAAACTTGACTAACCCATTATGAATATTTTCACTTTATACTTATCAATAAACACTTTTAAGGTCCTCTGCAGGGTCTGGGTAAAAACTTAAAAAAAAACAAAAAAACTTTTTGCACTGAAGAAGTAAAACTATTTTTTTTTGGGGATGTGGGATCCTTCTGGATCTTTATATTTTTCATAAAAACATCATGATCTTACTGGATCAGTGTGTTATTACTTAAAAAAGTCGGATCCATACTTTTGTTTGGGAAATCGCTCTGGATATTTATATGTTTTCATAAAAACACAATAGGATACTTCTGAATCCACACGTTTTTCCCAGGAAAAAATCACTGGATCTTCATTGAAGTGTCTGTGATGAAGCGCCAGTAAGCATCACATGTATGTCCTAGCCCAGTGATGGCGAACCTATGGCAGGTCGCTGGGGAAGGTGGGGTGACGCTGACGCCTGTCGAGAGCAATGCAGAGTAGGCAGGCAGGCGCCTACTCTGCTTTCGTATTGGGAAGACCCGGATGCAGAGGAAGGGATCTGGGAAGCAGCTCTCCTGTCCTCCCACGAGCAGGCTGTGTGGAGCGTTGCCGCGCGTTACTATGGCAACGCTCCACATAGCATTCTGCACGTAGGAGTACAGGAGAGCACCGCCACCGGACCATCAGAGTTGGCTGTGTCCCCCCTCCTTCACCAAAGGTAAGAAGGGAGGGGGGATAAAGATTTTAATAATGTATTTTTTTATAATTTATAAAAACACAGCACTCCTCCCCCCCACACACACACAGCATGCCTCCCCCCACACACCCAGCACCCCTTCCCCCCACACACAGCACCCCCCCACACACACAGCACCCACCACACAACAACCCGTCACACACAAAGCACCCCCCATGCACACACAGCACCCCTCACACACAGCACCTCTCACACACACACCCAGCACCCCTTACACACACACACAGCACCCCTCAATGCAGTATGTGTGTGGGTATTCAGCAGTCTGTGTGTGTGTGTGTATTCAGCAGACTGTGTGTATGTATTTAGCAGTCTGTCTGTGTGTACTCAGCATTCTGTTTGTATTCAGCAGTCTGTCTGTATGTGTATTCATGAGTTTGTGTGTGTATTTAGCAGTCTGTGTGTGTATTCAGCAGACTGTGTGTATGTATTCAGCAGTCTGTGTGTGTATTCAGCGGACTGTGTGCATGTATTCAGTGGACTGTGTGTATGTATTCAGTGGACTGTGTGTATGTATTCAGCGGTCTGTGTGTGTATTCAGCAGTCTGAGTGTATGTATTGTATGTATTTATTGCATTTGTTATGATATGATATTAATAAATATAAGCTTAATTTTATCTATAATTTATATAATTACTTATCATTTGTATCATTGAACTCTCTGTTGTGTTCTTTTAAAACAAAAGATGTTAATTAGTTCGGACAACTGTACGAGTTGTTTTTTTCTAAACTTAAACCTCAGTAATCAGGTTTAATTGCTGTGTTGGCACTTCGAGGAAAAAAAAGTTGGCATGTATTGCGGTTTGGGCACTCAGGCTCAGAAAGGTTCGCCATCACTGTCCTAGCCGCATGTCTTTTTTCATTGGAATAAAGCTAATTTGTCCGATCTTTGGATTGAAGCATTTTTTCTTCCAGATGTTAGGATCTGGCAATCCATCTAATTTCAAAGTAGCATTAAACTTTTTTTCATAAATACCCCTGCACTGTAAGCAAGGGCATATCCAGAATCCAATGGGATGGGCAATAGAAGATTTATCCCCCAAATAAAATATGCATATAATTAATTTTGGATGTTCTCTTTGTGGCTATATTTTTGGCTTGCAATAACTGCAGATCTAGTATGTGAAGCTACAGCTAGCCCTCCCCTTCTTCTCTGAGCTGATAAGAAAATCGAATGCCCAATTCAAGGCCTTTGAAGCTTCTTGGTACCTTGCAGTGGACATTGCTTTGAGGACATGCATCTGTCATTTTTGTCTTCTTCCAGTTGGTTCTAGCTAAAGGCTGCAATGTGGTGCTGGGGATGGCACTGTGGTTGTCTGCTGCTGTACTCAGCCCATCTACCATGAGCACAATTCTGTGTTCAGGGCTATGGCCAACATATTTGGGAAATATCAAAGGCAGTGGTGTGTAAAACAAACCTAACACTTCTTAGAAACTTGCATCACTGCATATAAACTGTTGGGTTCACTTTCCACACCAGTTCCTCTGATGAAATGGGTCCATTTACCCACAAAAGTTAGGATGTTGTGAATTGGTTCCTTGTGCAATCAGCGGAAGGCAAGAAGTGTCTGTGGACGGACCTTAGTAGAACACATGAAGAAATGTGCTGCAAAGAATCCATTGCTGTGAAAACATGTCACCTTCTCTGCCAAGCGAATCCTGACTTAATGTGGATGTTACATTCCCACTTGCCACCTACCTAGAGATTGTTGTAGACCACGTACACCCCTTCATGGCAATGGTGTTCCCTGATGGCAGTGGCCTTTTTCAGCAAGGTAATGCACCCTGCCACACTGCAAAATTGTTCAGGAATGGTTTAACCCCTTAAGGACCAAACTTCTGGAATAAAAGGGAATCATGACATGTCACCATAGGCGTGCGCAGCCTATTGCATTAGGGTGTGCACCCTAAAGCACAAGCACACGCCGCGTATATATATATGTATGTGTGTATATATATATATATATATATACACACATACACACACTGCTGTGTGTGTGTGTGTGTGCTGTGTGAGGGTGCTGTTAGTGTGATGTGTGTGTGATGGTGCTGGTAGTGTGCTATGTGGGTGAGGGTGTTTGTGTGTGCGTGCTTGTGAGGATGCTGTTAATGTACTGTGTGTGAGGGTGCTGTTTGTGTGTGTGTGTGCGCTTGTGAGGGTGCTGTTAATGAACTGTGTGTGAGGGTGCTGTTTGTGTGTGAGGGTACTGGTAGTGTGCTGTGTGTGTGTTTGTTAGTGTACTGTGAGGGTGCTGTGTGTGTGTGTGTGGGTGCTGTGTGTGTCTGTGTGTGCTGTATGTGTGTGCTGTATGTGGGTGTGTGATTGTGTGGGTGGAGGTGGGGGTACATTAATTGCTATCCCCCCTCCCTTCTTACCTTTGGAGGGAGGGGGGATCGTGCTGCTGATTCCATCCCTGATGGTCCAGTGGAGAGTGAACTCTAGCCCTCCGTGGCAATGCTCATATCTCGCGAGAGGAACCCGGCGGAGCTGCCGGCAATAGCTCCGCCGGTCCTCTCCTGCCTCCCTCCCTGCATGTGGGTCGGTGGGGAGGGAGGCTGAGAGCAGAGCCGGCCCTCGGATAGCGCCGGCTCTGCATGAGCTCTCAATATGCATAGGCGTGCCGCGGGATTAGGGTGTGCCCAGGCACACCCGGCACACCCCGTGCGCACGCCTATGCATGTCACACATGACGTGTCCTTAAGGGGTTAAGGGACATAACAAAGAGTTCAAGATATTGCATTGCCCTCTATATTCCTCAGATCTCAATCTGATTGAGCATCTGTGGAATGTGGTAGAGCATCAAATCCGACCCATGGAGGCCCCACCTCGCAACTTGCCAAACTTAGAGGATATCCTTGCTAATGTCTTTGTGCCAGATACCGAAACTCACCTGCCCAAATGAGTGAAAAAAAACTAGAAATCACTGTGTAGTAGATATACCCCTATACATACATGCATGCATTTATCTTAAAATAACTTGCAAAAGCTGCAGTCTCTTCACAGTGAAATAGCCTATCAGAGGCTACTCATTGAGAAGCCTCAGAAGCTCTCCCTCCATGTGCACTTATGCACCTGATTGTGTGTACGCATCTGCTGTGTGAGTGCTTCAGCTTATGCACGTGCGCTATGAGGTTTGAGAATAAGGTGCACAGGGGGTAGACAGGCGTACCCCCCAAAAAAAAACAACCTTGCAGGCGGTTTGTAAGCAGAGGGTGAGGGAGTCACTAAGTTTTACAAAAGTTCATATTTCTCATAAAAATAAACACTTTTTTATAAAGTGCCACTGAAATAGGATACTCCTCACCCATAAAGCACTCCAGCAGGTTGAGGTGTTTTGTAGGTGTGGAATGGGCCTTCATGTGTGGCATAGTCACTGCTTCGTTCCGTTGAGCTAATTTTAGTATCTCTTCACAATAATTTTTACTTCTTTCTGCTGCCTTTTTATAATATGAAATTGCCAGCATTTAAGAATTGACATAAGGGGGCATGCAGTTAACCCCTAAAGCATTAGGTGTCAGTATTGTCCCTATTAAATAGGATTAGTTAGCTAATTCATAAATTTGGATATAAAAAGCAATATTGTATTATATAACATATTTGTAGAATGTTGCAATGTTTTGTAAAAGGAATTGGCAAATAATATGGGTTGAATCTGGTTATGGAACTTTACAGTGAAAAGTGTTTTATCCTGCTTGTACTCATTTAAATAAAAATAAAAATTACTTTGGGTTTACCATCTTTCCCCCGAAAATAAGACTGGGTCTTATATTAATTTTCCCCCCTGAAAAATGCACTAGGGTTTATTTTCGGGGGATGTCTTATTTCGGGGAAAAATG